CCCCCCCCCCACCCCCCCCCCCCCCAACCAAACACTCCTTGCCCCTAGGACCTGGGCCTGAGGGCCGCGGTGGACGCCCGGCGGGAGGAGGCCGCGCTGCGTCGCGAGTTTGAAGCCGAGCAGGCCGTGGCGGAGCGGCAGCGTGCCTGGCGCATCGCCCGGGGCGAAGCCACACCGGCCGACCTGGCCGGCCCGGCGCCGGGCGGGGCTGGTCCGGCGCGCGAGGCCTGGATGACGGAGCTGCCACCCGAGCGGTCGGCCAGCGCGACGGTAGCCGCGGTGGCGCCTGGCTCCACCCACCGCGGCTTCTCGCAGTCCGGGATCAAGCCCCGGGGGGACACCTCCGGCTGGACCCTGACGCCGCAGCAGCGGGCTCTGCAGCTGGAGGGCGGCGGCGCGGCCGGCGGCGGCACGCTGCTGGGCCCTGCCCCAGGGGGCGGGGCGGCGGCCGTCACCGCCTCGGCGGTCGACGCCTACAATGCCGCGACCAGGAAGCGCAGCCTGGTGGAGCAGCACGCCGAGCGGCTGGCCGCAGCGACCAAGAAGAAAGGGAAGAAGAAGACGAGGGACGGAGCCCCAGCCCCGGCCCAGGCGCCCGCCGACTGGGACCCTGCCACCCAGCCCTGGCGGCCCTTTGACCGCGAAAAAGACCTCGTGGGTGGGCGTGGTGACGTGCAGTCTGCCCAGCAGCGCATCGCGGCCCTGCCCGCCCTTTCCTCCCGCTTCGGCGGCGCCGGTGGGGGGAGGGGTGCGAGCAGCGGCGCTCGCACCTTCCTCTGACGGAATGCTCTTGAGGTCATGCTGTGAGGCAGAGGCTGCCCTGCTCTTATCAGAGTGTCATCAGGTTCCTAAAGGCCATGGCATGCTGCCAGACCTGGTTGAATAGATGAATGGAGAGGCCAAAGCCTGCCGACTTATGAAATGAGATGGTGGGGGGTTATTGTCACACTGCAGCCGGCACCTGCCAACTCAACCATGACACACACAAAGCCTCTCGGCTCTGTCATGCCGCCGTCTGCATGCGTGCCGCCAGCGACTCCACAGCCATCTGGGAGTACATGAGCTGAAACAGGGCCGTCCTCGACAGGTCCTGGGAGGCACCCAGCGATGTCCGCCCGGCCCTGTGCAGGGGACATGCGTATTCAGATTGGGGTGGCGTGGGTGCCTCGAAACGCATGCACCCCCAGGGACAAGGGATGGTGCTTTGCATGTGCAAAAGCCCTCCCAACCGCCCATCCCCGCTCACTTGTCGACGATGCCGCGCAGGGCCGCCTGGAGGGCGGCAGGCACGTCGGCCGGCACCCGCTCCGCGCCGGCGCCCCTCGCCAGCAGGCCCGGCTGCCCGGCCAGGGCACTGGCCAGGCCGCCCACCACCACCGCCAGCCGGCTGAGGCTCTGGAAGGAGCGCGCCGTGGGGGCGGCCAGGTCGGAGAGGACGAAGGCCAGCGCGGCGCCGGGGTCAACGTCCACGTACCCCCAAGCGTCCGCGCCGTCCTCCAGGAGGTGCGCGGCCTTGGAAAGCGCGGCGCTGGGGCCCTCGGGCACCTGGTCCTGGATTGTGCTGCGCTGGAACTGGCGAGCCACGAGCTGCGTGCGGCGGGAGGGGGGCGCTGGGGGTGGATGGGGAAATCGCAGGGTTCATAGGTGTCGAAGAGTGCGAGTCGACGAGGCCGGCCCCGCCGCACGTCTCGGCGGCATGCAGCCTGGTTCAGGCGTCCTCCCAGCCTCCCACCCACCAGCCCCAGCAGGCGCAGGCGGTCGCGGGGCGGGAGGGCCGCCAGCACGGCGCACGCCCCGGCGTCGCTGCAGCCCGCCCCGCCCTCCCAGGCCGCAGCCAGCAGCGCCCTGTCCAGCCCCATGCGGTGGTTCTGGTGCGCGCCGGTCCTGCGGGCGGCAGGGCGGGGTGCCGTGAGCCAGGCGCACCTTTCTATCATCCGTGGTTGGGCGCGCGGGGCGGAACAGTCTGACGGCCGCCGGACCCGATGCCTCGCTCATGCATCCTGCCACCACGGCGGTGCACCCACCTGCCCCTGTGTATTCGGTGGAAGAGGCCTGCGCCCTCCATGGCACCGCACAAAGAAAGCAGAGCGCGCAGCATCTCGGCGGCCAGGCCGGCCAGTTCTACGGGCAGGAGGGGCCCCATGTCAGCCACCTGCACCGCGGCGCCTGATCGTGTCGTTTGGCCCTCGACATCGTCGTGCGGCGCGGCCATGCAGCGCACCAGCAGCCCCACCAGCGCCGCGCGCGTGTCGTTGGAAGTCAGCTGCACGCGGCGGCGCGGGTGGCTACGGTGATGGGCACGTCGTGGCGCAGTGGGTAGAGCACATCCCCGCCATGGTGGCCCTTCAAGTACAACCCCTCACAGCCCCCAGCCGCGCCCAGCACACATGGAGCTCGCCGGAGTAGATGCGGGCGAGCAGGGAGTGCTCCAGCAGAGCCGCCCGGCGCCCCTTCAAGCCCTCGGACTCCACCGTCGCCATGTTCTCAAACGCCTGGAGGGTTCGTGGGCAGGTCTGGCCGTCTGAGGTTGGCTTGGGTTTGTGCACGTGCAGAAAGGTCCAACTGCAAACAGTCTTTGCTGCTGTCGATCTCGTTTACACCCAGACGCACGTGTGTTTTCACCAAGAGGAGCCAATCCCCTGGCCATGTATAAGCATCGAACCGTGTTGCCCTCGCATCAGAACGTGCATCCCCATCGCTCATCCTTCCCTCCCCCACCTGCGCCCCACCTGCAAGCGCGCGTCCAGGTCGACGCGCAGTACCATGAAAAGGTACTGCAGGAATGCCACCTCGCCGGCCCGCCCCGGCACGGGCGGGCCGCTGGCCACCTCGAAAAGGTGCACCAGGAGCTCCAGGGGCGAATGCAGCCGCCGGGCGCCCGGCGGGCCTCGCCTGTGCTGCGCGCGGTCGCCCTCGCCCAGCCTCGCCCCACTGGCCGCCATGTCCGCCCACATCAGCCGCTTCCAGCTGAAGCCCGCCAGTTCTCTGGTGAATGAATGGGCGTAGGGGTCGTTGGCCGGGGTGGCAGGTGGGAGGTTGACCGAGTGAAGGAGGAAGCATGCATCAAACTCAGCACTGAGAGACAGAAGGGTGATCGAGGGCGGCACTGGGCAAGGGGCTGACAGAGTGGTGATTCCCGCACTCTATTCTGAGAGCAACAGCTCAAGGGTGGGGCCTGAAGGTGCATGTGGAGCCAGTCCCATCTACACACTCGTTGAGAGCCCGAGCATGGGTTAACCAGCAGGTGACCTGCTGCAGAGGGGCTCCTGCACACCCTGGTCTCCCTCAGGCCACACCCCTGATCATGCCCCTCCCCTGATCATGCCACTCCCGCTCCGACTCACAAGCCCACGGGGGACCAGACCCCAGCATCTGAGAAGGTTACAAAGGGCTGCCCCGAATGGGGACCCTGGGTGTGCCAACACAGGTTGGCTGGGGGGAAGGCGAGGGCGGCCGAAACCAGGACCCTGGCAGCACCCGCTGACACGGCGCGAGAGCCGTGCAGGCCATCGCACCGTAGCACGAGGACCAGGTGCTCGATCGAGTGCCTGCAGCCAGGCAAGGAGGTGCCACCGGGCTCAGCTGCTGGCAGCAGGCACACCAGGAAGGGCTCGGCCCCGTCACGTGCAATGCTCGCTCCAAACACTGTGCTGGCAAGCCCTCACACCTGTCTAGGACCTGATTCTTGGGAATGGCTTGGTCCAGACAGCGCTGACAAGCCTCAACGTACCTGAAACCTGCACTGAGGGGAATGGCGGGTGAGCATATCACTCTGTACCGCTGGCGTCCATTTCAGGCCACATTCTCGGACGAAGAACATCATGCCAGATGCCCAAGCCAACAGCCTCTCATGTGTGCGCGAGGGGCCAGTGGGGGCGCGACAATACATACCAGCGGTATCCAGCATCTCAGCGGTGTCCAAATGTTGCTCATGCGCCTCTGGATCGGGTTTCATGCTGGTGCCTGGTCGCACCGGCGCCCTGTCCCCCGTCATCGAGAGGGCACTGCACCGCGCCGTCCACGCCTGGACGTAGCCATCGGCAAGGCCATGGAGCTCCTGGATCTTGTGCTCATTGAAAAGAGCATATTGGGTCTGGCGTTCGGTCTCGCCAGATGTGCGAGGCCCAGCGCAGGCCTTGCGCAGTGTGAGCTGACGTTTTGCTGGTGGAGAGGAAGTCGTCATGACGACGGCCCAGGGAGGTTACGTCAAGACCCAAGGTGAGTCGCTATGGTGTTCATCCTATATAAAATGACGATCTTAGGAATGGAAGGCCTCGACGACTGCTCATGAGTTTGGTGTATCTGACAGGAGATTTTGAAGCCGACGGGCGCGTGTTATGAATTGGTGTCTTGTCTTGCGGTGGTTGGGCAATTTGAAACCCTACCAATGGAGGTCATCAGGGCCATAATTTTCCAGATCCCAGACTCATGCCACTTGCAGCCGTTCCAGATCCACTCTATACTTGGCTGGCACATGACTCAGCAATGCCAGCTTCTCTTGTTTGAGACGCTCCAGCGCATTCCGCTCGGCCTCTGCAGCGGCGGCTTGTGCTTGTGCCTCCTGAACCTCCTTAAACCTCCCAGCCTCGGTCAAGGCTGCAAGCTCCCGCAGCTGGGACTGCAGGGTCGTCCTCAGTGCAGCAGCAGCAGCCTTCTTCTTCGCTTCCTGCAGTGTGGTGGGTTGCATTGCGGCATGAGGCCAAATTAACAATGGTCATCACCGCCCTCGTGCCTTTGCCAAAAGGCGCATGATTGGAATATAAGACATCGCATCATGAGAGTCTAAGGACGATTATCGGTGCACAAAGAGCAAAAATCCATCCAAAATTAATTCCCCTCGCCTCTTCTGCGGCAGCCAGCTTCGCCGCCTCGGCTGCGGCAGAGACTTTGACAGCCTCTGCAGCCTCCTCCTCGGCTGCCCGTTTGGCCGCCTCTGCCTTGTACTCCAGTTGCTGCTTCATGGTTGCGAGCTGCGCTGACTTTGACTGGGCCTTCAGCGCCTCTGCAGCCTCCTCCTTTGCAAGCTCGGTAGCCTCCCTCTCATCCTGGACAGCGAGCATTGAGGTTGTGCAGGGAGCCTTTGATTGAACTGTGAGCACTTCAAAATGAGGGCCTTTCTCCTGCAGCCTTTCAACTGAGCTGTTGCGACTGATGGAAGCTGCCTGTACCCAATGCCAGGGCCCCTCCCTCGCCTGGTACAGACGGATTCGAGCGTCCTCTGCCGCTCTGCGCCCATCCTGCACCCTTCTGGTGCTGGACCAGTGAGCTGCCAGCAGCTGCTCGGAGGCACGGACAGCAGCCTGCCTCTCCTCAAAGGCGGCCTGGAGGACAGTGATGTGTGTAATGCGGTGGCTGTCACCCCAGGAGCAATATGATCTAACCCAGCACCAATGGCCAGCAGAGCCTCCTTGTCGATCCTAGCCATCAAGTGACAGTCGCCCCCTTCACCTGCTCCTGGGCGTCCTTCTCCATGTTGAAGCGTACGATGGCCTCGTCCTCCGCACGCTGGGCGCGCTGGGCGGCCTCCTTTCGACCCAGGCGCAGCGCGTTGAACGCCGCCACCTCCTCCAGCAGGGCAGCGCCCGCAGCGCGCCGCTCCCTCTCCCCTTCTACCTCCTGCCTGGCCAGCCGCTCGGCGGCCAGCCGCTGCGCGGTGCCTTCAGCGAGATTCGCTGCCAAGGCGACCGCTGCCGCTTCCCGTCTCTCGGCCAGCTGGCCCAGCAGCTGAGCCTCGCCGGCCTTATACATGAGCAGCTTCTCTTGCTCCCTCTCCTGTGGGACAGGAGGGGCATGGAAGCAGGGTGCATGCCTCGAAGGGTGTTGTATCTTGGAGGGTGCGACAATGGATATGGATGGCTGTCGTCGGCAAGGGACGAGCCATTCCCTGCAGTGTCAAATCCACTGGCAGACAAGGTTTTGAGAGCAATCAGCGGCAGAAGTATAGAGGTGGACGCAAGATGCCTGGACGTGTGGTCCTCGCTACCCATAGGAACTGTGATGGTCTTAGCTCCTCTCACCTCCTCCATTGCTGCCTTGAGCGCCCAGTCTGCAGCAGCTCGTCGGTGTGCCTCGGCTGCATCCATGGCGTCCTTCTCTCGGGCTGCTGCCCTCCTTGCCACCTGATCGTCCAGGGCCGCCATGGTGATCGAAGATTGCACCATCTGATTCATCTGCGCCGAGGGGCGTGGTGCAGAGCAGCGATCGCATTCAATTGCAAGCTCGGTACCAAAATCTGACTCATCACGGCCGTCCCTGCCCTGCAGCGCAATCTGAAGCATGGCAGGGGATGCACAGGCTTGCAGCTGGCACACTGGGCATGTCAACGCTGCAGTCCATTCTCCTCTGAACCCCATGCCACCCTACCAGGCGAGCTTCTGGACGCGCCTCCAATTGGTGTCTTTGGGCTCTGGCAACAACTGCCTGCCTTTCCTTTTGCCTCTTCTCATCCATTGGGCTCGGCACATGGGCACCAAGGTCCTGCACATTGGGGTGTCGATACGCCATCTTGAACTTTGTAGGACTGGTACAAAACCCGGACTGAGAGCTGTGCATCTTTAAGTTGCAGGAATCTCTCCTCATCATAGGGAGCACTTCCAGCAGGAATTCATTATGGCACACCGCAGACAGCTCCCCAGCAGCCCCAAGGCAGCCCCTAACAAGCACCTGAGAATGGGAACTCACCTTTCGCTCTTCCAGGGATTCTTCTGTGCCAGCTCATGCGCTGGATAGGTTCTCAATGACTCGTTCCAGCTCAGCCTTTCGTGCCTCCGCCAGCTCAGAGGCTGAAGGAATAGCGCAGGGTTTCTTCAAACTTGCCAAACGTTCCTTGGAAATGGTGATCTGTGCAAGTCCGGATGCCACATCCTGGCTAGCGGTCCTCCCCTTCCGTGACTGAGTCCTCGAACCCCCCAATGCTCCAAACAAGGATGTGTCAATGGAGCTTGGGTGGGGCCTCTTCAGGGTGGTGTTTCTGGGAGACACCCTCATGAGTGCCACCGGGGCGCTACACTCGGTGATGACACTCGCTAAGTATGTTCGGCTGGTAACTAGTTCTCGAGATGTGGACAATGGGCGCAGCTGCGGTTTCGACTTGGATGAGTACCGAGTCAACCAGGGCAACATGTGCGCCTTAGACCCAAGCGCAGCGGCACATGCGATAGGACATGATGCCCTCGAAATGATTTTTGGAAATGTCAAACTCAATCTAGGACATTGATGTCGAGCTAAAAGCTCTCCTGGGGGGAGGGGTCTTGATACTATCGAGCCCTTACGTAAGTAGATTGCCGGGGAGTGCTTGTCACGGCATGTCGTGAGGCGCGGGCGTATTCGCCGAATTAGCCGTGCCCGGCTACGCTGGGTTCTAAATTACCCACTCTGAAATGAGCTCCAGCCTGCACAGCAATGGGGCTTCGAGGAGGACGCCCACCTTTTCCTTCGTGTTGTCATGTGATCTGGACCTCCAGGTATGAGAGCCCCTGAACATACGGAGGCGCATCCGATGTGCCCTATGGGTGACGATGAACCTTTTTGAATATCCTATGTACCCCCGGGTCCCCCCTCGCTGCCCGCAGGTCCAGGTGTTGGTGGACAGCGTGGTAGGCTGCCTGCCGGTGTACAGGGATGCCCAGCATCTGGCCCTTCCCACGGTGCGCCCCTCCGCCCTGTGGGTGGAAGCCGTGCTTGCCGACCGGTACGACACCCTGGGCATCCCCGTGCGTACCTCCTACGCCGAGGCCACCTTCTCCGGCTGCACCTGGGACACCACCCTGACCTTTGCCACCCGGGTGAGCTGGGATGGCCTCACGCTGGCTGGCATGGGGAGGGCCTGGCCTGGATATCTGCGATACACTTGTTGGGGCCAGCATGGGATCTGTGAATGTAGCCCCCCGTGCCGTGTTTGCACCCTGCGGAGGTGGGCCGGGGACCCTCGTCAATCGCCGACGGCTGACCATGCACACACCCTGTCCCCCCCACATGGCCTCCCTCCATGCCCCCGGTTTCTTCACAGTACCGCGACCTGGACCACACGGCCCAGCTGGCGCTGACGGTGTGGGAGGTGCGGGAAGGCGTGCCGCAGCGCGCCCTGGCGGGCGCCACGCTGCGCTTCTTCAGCAAGAAAGGGCGGCTGAAGACCGGGGCGCACACGCTGCGGCTGTGGACCCCGGGCCCCGCAGATGGGGGCTGGCCGTCGAAAACCCCGGGCAAGGTCCCCCTGAAGGAGCGGGGGGAGCGCGGGTGAGAGGCGAGGCATCGTGTGTGGGGGACAAGAGCGGATGGGGGGGGGTGGGGGTGCGCTCATGTTTGGTGTGCCAGGTGGGAATGGGATGGGGGTCCCCGCACCTGCGCCCCTCGGCAAAACGCATGGCGCCTTGCTGCACTGTGCCACGCCGTCTGTGCTGCTGCGGCTGGGCAGAGCCGGGATGAACCTGGACTCCAACCCAAGCACGGCATGCCCAGACCGACGATCACAGTGGTTGTCTGGCTGCTGTCACACACACAGACACATCCTCCTTCCTCCTTGCCCACCGCCGCACGCACCCTCCGATCACTGTGACTCCCTCAAACCCCCCAGGCGGGTGGAGCAGGTGCTCAAGCGCTTCGAGCGGGGCGAGCTGGAAAGTGTGCCCTGGCTGGACGGCCTGACCCTGCGCGCCATCGACGAGCTGGCGGCCGAGGGCGCGCGCGGCGCGGCGCCGGCCGCAGGCGAGCCCCTGGCCCTGCTGGTCGGCCTGCCCTCCTTCCCCCAGGCGGTGGTGTACCAGGCGGCGGCGCTGCCGGGGGGCGCCGGGGTCGCGGACGCCGCGCCCGACGCGCTGCGCTCCACCGACGTGGCGCCGGCGGCGCGGACCCCCCCCGGCGTCGCCCCGCCCACCTGGCTGCCCATCCAGGACCCGGAGCTGGGGCGGGACAACCCCTCCGAGCTGAAGGCGCGGAAGCTGGCGCGCAGCCACACGCGCGGGCTGGTGGACCCCAGCGCCAAGCCCGGCGCGGAGGAGCGCGCGGCGCTGGACGCGGTGCTGGCGGCGCCGCCCACGCGCGCGCTGGGCGGCGCGGAGCAGGCGCTGCTGTGGCGCTACCGCTACGCGCTGGCGAGCGAGCGGCGTGCGCTCACGCGCTTCCTGCGCTGCGTGGACTGGGCCGACGGCGGCGAGGCCGCGCAGGCCGCCGCGCTGATGGCGGCCTGGGCGCCCATCGACGTCGCCGACGCGCTGGAGCTGCTGAGCCCGGACTACGGTAATGAAGAGGTGCGGGGCCACGCGGTGCGCGTACTGGAGGCCAAGGGTGACGAGGAGCTGCTGGCCTACATGCTGCAGCTGGTGCAGGCGCTGCGCTACGAGCCGGCCGACGACTCGCGGCTGGGGCGCTTCCTGGCGCGCCGCGGCGCGGCCAGCCTCAGGCTCGCCACCCCCCTCTTCTGGTACCTCTGCGCGGAGCTGGAGGACCCCGGGTTCGGCCGGCGCGCCGCGCTGGTGCAGGCCGCGCTCCTGCGCGGCCTGGACCCCGCGCTGGAGGACGCGCTGGCGTCGCAGCTGGACCTGGCGGCACGCCTGCGCCACCTGGCCGACGTGGTGCAGGCGACGCGCGGGTCGGCTGCGCGGCGCGCCGAGACGCTGAGGGCGCTGGTGTCGCCCGGCGGCGCGGCCGCCGACCTGGCGCGCTTGGCCTGCCCCAACCCGCTGGACCCGGGCACGCGCCTGCTGGGCCTGGACGCCAGCCAGTGCACCGTGTTTAAGTCTGCGCTCTGCCCCCTGCGCCTCGTCTTCTTCACCGAGCCGGGGGGAGACGATGGAGCGAGAGCGGGGGTTGGGGGGAGTGGGGGCGGTGCCGGGGTCGAGGGCGGCGGCGGGGGACCGGAGGGCGGCGGCGGGGGACCGGAGGGCGGCGGCGGAGTCGACGGGCGAGCGCCAGCTGGCGAGCCAGGGTCCGGCCTCGCCTCGCCCCCGCACGGCCGCCTCCCTCCAAATCCCTCCCTCCCCCTGGACCCCTTCCCCCCCTCCGACGGCGGCCCCCCCACCCACCGTCCACACCACCCGGCGACGCTGACGCTGATCTACAAGCGCGGCGACGACCTGCGCCAGGACCAGCTGGTGGTGCAGATGATCTCGCTCATGGACACGCTGCTGCGGCGCGAGCACCTGGACCTGCGCGTCACGCGCTACGCGGTGCTGCCCACCTCCTCCCGCGACGGCCTCATCCAGTTCGTCCCCGCCGTGCCCCTGGCGCGCCTGCTGGCCACCCACCGCTCCATCCACCGCTACCTGGCGCAGGCCGCGCCCGACGCCACAGGGCCCTACGGCCTGCAGCCCGGCGTCCTCGCCAACTTTGTCAAGTCCTGCGCCGCGGCCTGCGTCATGACCTACATCCTGGGCGTGGGCGACCGCCACCTGGACAACCTGCTGCTCGCGCGTGACGGCCGCCTCTTCCACATCGACTTCGGGTTCATCCTGGGGCGCGACCCCAAGCCCTTCCCCCCGCCCATGAAGCTGTGCCGCGAGATGGTGGACGCGCTGGGCGGCGCCGACAGCGAGCACTACCGCCGCTTCGCCAGCCACGCCTGCGAGGCCTTCAACGTCCTGCGCAAGTCGGCGGGCCTGCTCACGGGGCTGCTCCGCCTCATGGCCGGCTCGCGCCTGCCGGACATCGCTGCCGACCCCGACGCCGCGCTGCTGAAGGTGCAGGAGAAGCTGCGCCTGGACCTGGGGGACGAGGAGGCCGCCCGCTACATGCGCCAGCTCCTGGCCGACTCCGCCTCCGCTCTCATGCCCGCCATCATGGAGACCACCCACCGCTGGGCCCAGTACTGGCGGTGAGGTGGGAGGGCATGACGGTTGGACAAGGGGGTGGGGGGTCCATGGCCCGCCTTCCATGAATCAAACGGACATCGGAGGCCTGCCATTGGACGGCCGTCCCCTGCAACCCCGCCCGAGACCCTGTGACGCCCCTTCCTGGGCAGCAGCGAGCCGGTCAGGGGCGACTGTACACCCAGCGCAGTGTGTCGGTGGGGTTGAGGAGAGGGGCACGAGGGCAGCCGGGGGGACTGCACCGAGAGTTCAAGTGAGAGGCAAGGGGGTCGGGTCAGGGCGACGCCGGGCTGCAAGTCTCAGGCGGGCGCGCCCTGCGCGGCGACGCCATCCTCCCGCGCGCCGGCGGCCTGGGCGGTGCGCAGGAGGCCGGCCGCCTCGGACCGCCCGTTGGCGGTGGCCAGGCCCAGCGCCGTGTTGCCGTTGAGGTCCCGCACGCCGGGGTCCACCCCCTCCTGGCGCAGCAGGTGGCGCAGCAGCGCCGACTGACCCTCACTGGCGCAGGCGACCAGGGGGATGCCGGGGATGTAGTTGAACCTGCATTTGGTGGTGGGTGGGGGCGAAGGAATGAGAGGGTATCGGGATGATGCAGGGAATAGGCAGGTGATGGGGTGAACCCCAGAGCCGGGCACTACTGGCTCCCTGAAACCACGCTCCAGCTTCCCCAGCTCACTTTGCAGGTATTTCATCCTCTTCGAGGAGGTCGGGAAGGACGAGGGGTCGGTCGCACCAGTCAGCCAGTGTGATTTGTCGGGCAATATGTTTCTGAAGAGATGTGGTGGGGTGTCTGTGATGGGGAAGGCCTTGGATCGGGTCACAGGAACCACAAGCGATTCCTTCACAGGCAGGAAGAATCGGCCGGTTGAGAATATAATTCACATCAGCCCACCTGCTGACTGGGGGAGAGCGCGCGTGCGGGCGCTGCAGGGCCCTGCTCGGGAGCTATGGCTCCATGCTGATCATCTCCTACCGACGAGGCGGAGGGTGCTCCCTCATCCCGACTCAGAAGATCCCGTAAGGGCTCGTCGACAGACACCCTCAGCCGTTTCTGAGAGTCCCGCTCCGGTGTGCAGCTTGGTCGGGTGCGGGCGTTCCTGGGCTCCTCCCGGGGCCTGGTAGTGCTGCTGCTGCTGTGGTCGCCCCCCTGCCCCGCGCCGACGCCCTCCTCCAGACTCATCGAGACTTCATTAGCTCGTCGGTGTCGAGTGGAGATTGGTCGCCAATCCAGGCATGGGATGTATGATGTGCTGGTGTCAATCGCGCTTCTCGTTGCCACCGTACCTGTCGCGCGGGATTCCCGTTGCGATGTTTGCACGCCCCGGACAGCACGGACAGCACGGTCGAAATACGTGTTAAGAACCTTCAGACACCTCCCGATGCGGGCAGCAGGCTGGTTAAACTCACATGAGAATTACACACCATTGATTGGAAATTATCAAGCACTCCTGCAGGTGCGAATTCCCGCGGAACCGTGGCCATCCGCCTGTCGTGCGATCGCCACACCCCGACTTCGCAGGGAACCCCAACCCACCCCACTGCGCCATGGGGAGGGCGATCCTCCCGTCCCTGCTCCTGCTGGGGTGCCTGGCCTGCCTCGTACCCGGCACGCGGTCCAGCATCATGGCCGTGGACCTGGGGTCGGAGTTCATGAAGGTGGCCCTGGTGCAGCCCGGCCGCACCCCCATCAGCATCGTGATCAACGAGATCAGCAAGCGCAAGACCCCCGCACTGGTGGGATTCGTGGGCCGGGACAGGCTGGTGGGCGAGGAGGCGGCGGGGCTGGCCACGCGCCACCCCACCGCCTTTGTCGCCAACCTGCCGGCCCTGTTGGGCCGCTCCCCCGACGACCTGGCGCTGGCCGCGCTGGCGGCCCAGGGCCTCCCCCTCCCCCGCCTGGTCCCTGCCGCCAACCGCACCGGCGCCCTGGCCCTGGACTTTGGCGAGGCGGGGCAGGTCACGCCCGAGGAGCTGGCCGCTTCGCTGCTGCAGTATGCGGCCGGCATCGCGCGCGCGGCCTCCGCCACGGGCACCGCGCCGCGCGACCTGGTGCTCCTTGCCCCCGCTCACTACGGCCCGCGTCGGCGCCAGGCCCTGCTGGACGCCGCGGCAGCGGCCGGTCTCAACGTCCTGGGCCTGGTCAGCCCCGCCGCGGCCGCCGCGCTGCAGTACGGCATCGACCGCACCGCCACCTTCGCCTCGGGCGGGCCGCAGCACGTCCTGCTCTATGACCTAGGGTCTGGGGGGCTGGAGGTGGCTCTGGTCAGGTTCTCCACCTACCCTGACCGCAAGGTGTCTGGGTTCAGGGTGGGGTTGCCTGGCTAGCCGGGGGGAGGGGGCTGATGAGAGGGGGTTGGGGTGGGAGGAGGCTGGCCTGCATGTGGAAAAGCTGGTGTGAGGTCCTGACAGGGGAGTTGGGATTGGAGGTGTTGCAGATGTGCCTTCAGCAGTGCCATGCCAGAGCGGAACCCAGGCCTCGACCCCCTTCCAGCACCACTGCCCGTCCCTCTGTTCATCCCGGCTACTTCATGCACCGACAGGGCGCCCCCGCCAGCCAGGTGGAGATCATGGACGTGGCCTGGGACGAGGGCGCCGGCACCCAGCTGCTGGAGTCCCTCCTGCTGCGCCACTTCATGGCGCAGGCGGGCGAGGCGCTGGGCGAGGCGGGCGCCGACCTCGCCGCCTCGCCCCGAGCCGTTGCCAAGCTGCGCGCCGGGGTCAAGCGCGCGCTGCGCGTGCTGAGCGCCAACCTGGAGGCCCCGCTGTCCGTGGAGGAGCTGCACGCCGGCCGCGACTTCAGGTCCTCGATCTCCCGCGAGGCCCTGGAACGGCTGGCGGGCGACTACTGGGCTCGCGTCACGCGCCCAGCGCTGGACCTGCTGGCCCGCAACGGTGTGGCGGCCGCCGACCTGGCGGCTGTGGAGCTGCTGGGTGGCGGCTCCCGCATCCCCAGGGTCAAGGCCGAGCTGTCCCAGGCCCTGGGCGGGCGCGCGCTGGACGTGTGAGAGCTCTTTGTGATTGGTTGGGCGTGAGAGGGTGGGACATGGCAGGGGAGTCGTGCGCAATAATCTCGTGGGAGGAGGGAGGGTGGGCCTGGCTGGCGCCTGGGAGGGAGACAGGGGCGGCCCAGCAAGACGGAGGTGGGCTTCGGTTCCCTGAACTGCCTACCGCAAAGCAGCGCCAGGGCTGCCATGCCCCGTCAATGTCGCCCACCGTCAGCCACGCCTGCTGGCAGTCACGGAAAACACGCTCAACCAGCAAGCCCGACTCCCCCACTCCCTCCTCTCCGCATCTCGCAGGCACCTGGATGCCGACGAGGCGGTGGTCCTGGGGGCGGGGCTGGTGGCCGCCAACCGTAGCACCCAGTTCCGCGTGCGGCCCTTTGGCCTGGTGGACAAGGTGCCGTACGGCGTGAGCTACGCGCTCGATGACGACACAGAGGGTGCGGGGGGTGGGGTGGTGGGTGCCGCGCTGGTGTTGTGAGGAGGTTGCAGTATTAGGAGAGGGTGACCGAGCTCTGTGCCCCAGCACTTGCGCCCACTGAGCTGAGCCCACCAACCCCACCCTCCTCCCGATGCAGTCAAGCCCCTGGTGCCGGCGATGAAGCGGGTGCCCAGCCGCCGCGCCGTCAACCTCCTGGCCCAGGCAGCCGAGGGGCGGGACGCGGTGGGGCTGCGCCTCTTTCTTTCCGGCCCTGCGTCCGAGGGGCAGGCCCGGGAGTTGGGCGCCTGGCGCGTGGAGGGCCTTCGCGCCGCGCTGGCGGCGCACGACAACGTGACGCGCGTGGCCTTCCACGCCCGCGTCGACGACGGCGGCTGCTTCCATGTGGACGGCGCCGACTTCACCGTCTCCCGCCTCGAGTACGTGGAGGCGAAGGGCACCCTGGCTGGGGCGCCGGGGACGAACGCCACCAATGGTAGCGCAGCGAGCGACGTCACCGGAGGCGGGGGCGCAGAGGCCGCTGTCCTTTCGGGCGGCGACACGAGCGGCACGCTCGCGGGTGCACCAGACTCCAACGCCACGACCGCCGGCGAGGGGGTCATCGATGCCACGAGCGCAGGAACCTCGAGCGCAAACGGCACCCTCACACGAGTGCCGCGGGTGCGCACCTCGCGCCTCTCACTGAACGTGACGGGCGGGCTGGCCCACCCCGGCTTGACCCTGGAGCAGCTGGCGGGGTCGCGTGCGGTGCTGGCCCGTCTCGCCGCCCGCGACACGGCCAAGCGCGCCGCCGCGCAGGCGAAGAACGACCTGGAGGCCTACGTGCTGGAGGCTGCGAGCTGGGTGGGTGGTGGCGTCGTGGGGGGGTCGGAGGGGGGGCTGGGAGGATGGATGGATGTGCCCCGGGGACGTGGGGTGGGGCTCCGTGGCATACTCCCCTGGTGGAAAATGTGGATGTCGCAGTGCTGGCGAGGCGTTGTAATGCATCATGCACCACCCCTCCCCCCTCTTGAACAGTATACCGCACCTCTCACTCTCAAGCCTCCACACACACGCACCGCAATCCATGCAGTCTGCGGAAGACGAGGACGTCAAGGCGGTTGCGAGAGCCGGAGAGCTGGCGACCCTGGGCCAAGCACTGGAGGAGGCGGAGGACTGGCTGTATGGCGAGGGCGATGCTGCTGGCTCTGAGGAGTACGTCGCCAAGCTAGAAGCCCTGAAGGCGCTGGGTGACGGGCTGAGGACGCGAGGCAGGGAGCGCTCCGCCAGGCCTCAGGTGGGTGGGAGTGGGGTTTGGTGTGGGGCAAACGTGGAAGGGGGGGTGCATGGACGCTCACAGCGCGTTGATTCTGTTGGTGGAGACCGCACCGCCCCTTCATTCAACCCTGGCGGTCTCATCAATCATCCCCCTACAACCCCTTTGCCACCCCTTCTTCCCTCGACAGGCTGTGGCAGAGGCCAGGAATATGCTGGAGGTGCTGAGCCCCATCGTGGAGGGGTGGGCAGCCGCCAAGCCATGGCTGCCAGAGTACGAAGTGGGCTTGGCCAAAGAAAAGGTGAGAGGGCTGGTGGGTGGTGACATGGCTGGCAAGTGGCTCGAATGCCATCCAGAGTTTCATCCAAGATGGCAGGAGCAGTGACACAGGTCCTGGCTGCCCAGGCTTCTCCAGTCTCGTGCGGGCATGCCAGCAAGCAATCAGCCAATGCCCAGCTAGCGATCAGCCAATGCCCAGCAAGCAACCAGCGCCCTCCTCAACCCTGCCTGCAGCTTGCGGAGCTGCAGAAGTGGCTGACCCAGGTGGAGGCCGTCCAGGCCAAGAAGAAGGCGACAGACGAGCCGGCTTTCACCTCGGCGGAGGTCAATCTGCGACTCAAGGTCGCGGCAGAGGTGGGTGGACAGTGTTGTCACTAGCGCAGTTGGGGTCTTACAACAGTGCGTCCAGGATGTAGCTCGCACATCGGCGGGTCGCAGTCAGGAAGCTTGGAAAGCTCAGTACTCATCCCAAAATCTTCCACTCCCCAACCCTCCAATGCAGTCGGTCAGCATGCTAGATAGGCGGCCGGCGCCGCCCACGCCAAAGCCGACGACGGATGCCACTGCCGATGGGGCGAAGAAAAAGGCAGCAAAGAAGGGAACGGGGACGAACGGCAAAGCGAAGCCATCTCAGGGCCCTGGGGAGCCGGAGGCGGAGGTGCAAGCGCCGGAGGAGCCAGCAGAGGGCATGGAAACCGTGAAAACCGAACTGTGAACAGAAATGCACACGCCGGCTGTAAGTTGGCGCCTCTGGTGCGTTCACACAGGGTCCTAGAGGAATGCTGCAGCACTGCTGGTCAGTGGGCTATGACCGGCAGGCCATCGCAACGCTACCTCCTCCCGCCCCGCTTCTTCTTGTTCTTGTCCTTGGGCCCCTGCTTGTTGGGCTGCCCCAGCGGCCTGCTCCCAGTCGCCGGGGCGGCAGCAGGGGCTGAGGAGGGACCTGGGCGCCCACTGCCACTGGCCTGCATCAGGGTGAGCAGGAGGAGCAGCTGCTGGGAAATTTGCAGGAACAGGTGGATATAGAACAGGGCTGTAATCAGTGATAGAGAGCTTGCCTGCTGTCTGGAGAGGGCTGCTTGCCCGGCGCGCTGGGTTGGGGTGGGATAGGCTTTCAAGCTGCGTACACGGTCGTGCACAGACCTCAGCCACTCTATAACTCGTTGCTGTTGTAGCAGGACGGCCGTGCAGCCTATTAGAAGTGGGGCCAGCCCAACACCGGAGCTGGCTGGCTGGAGCTGCTTGGACACGCGACTCCTGGGCGCGATACGATGGCCGTAGGGGCTGTGCAAGCGTGCTCTGTGGACTTCATCACTCCACCCCATTCAGAGAATGTGGAGAAGGGCAGGGATGATAGGCACGGAACCGTACTAAGGGGTGACCGTCTTGGTGTTTGGCGGCAACGAATACTCTTCAATATCACCCAAATGGAAGATGATCGGATTGCATAGCAACACACGGAGTTGCTGGTGCCTCATCATGTACTTGCTCTGAACAACGTCGTGGGAAGACGATCGGCATCCTGGGCGCGATAACTCTGGCTGGGGACACATCGCCCCCCGATGTGCTTTGGTTGTTCATGCGCTTTAACACCCACTGACAAGTTGCAACCTTGAATAAACGAATTGAAGATAGTGCTCTCGTTGTTCACTTGGAAAGCTTGAGAGCTGGGAGTGCGACTTTCGACTCTTCCAGCACACCATTTCATCTTGTGGCTCGCCCAAACAATGAACCATTGAATGGGAGAGGAAGCCCTGCTTTATGCACCTCTGAGTTATCACGATGTATACTTGTACCCAGAAGACGCCAGTCTGGTTTTGGGTGCTCACTGGTGGAATGATCAGGTGTGTGCAGTGCTTTTGCACCTATCAGAATTTTGGAACCAACACTATCTCCGATGAAGAGACCTCAGCTAACATGCAAAGTCACCACTGGCCCTTCCCTCATCGCTCCTGCAGGTGATAGCCTTCGCGTTTGAGTGGCTGAAGTTTCAAGTACCCTGTCCCTCGCCAATCGTGGCCATACCTGCAGCTGCCTGCTTCCTACTGCTGCATTCAGGTATGGCACTGGAGGAATTCCGATCCTTGACACTCAATCTATATATTATCTCCAGAGCAGATTCTGGCCACCCTTTTAACATGCCTGCCCCTGCAACTTCTACATATACAACTGCTCAACCTCCTTTGCACTGCCGCAGATGCACAGACAGTACGGGAGCAGCTGGAGCAGATGCAGGTGGGTCTGAGCAACCATTGCCTGAGCACGTCGCTCCTCGAAGCGCACGTACCTCCAGGTCGATCCCAGCCAGCGCCCAACCTTGATCTCCATGGTATGCAAGACACTTCATCCCCGCAATCCCTGCTTGCCAGGTGCACGCAGCCTCGGGCCTGCTGCTGGCGGTCAACGACAGCCCAAGCCTAGAAAGCGCGGGCGGGGGCACCCACTGGTCCCTGTTGGCGGTGGCGCTGGACCAGGGGTCCGCCTGGCACGTCGATTCGCTGGGCGGGGCCAACAGGCGAGTCGCCCAGGCCCTCACCCGGAAACTGGCCGCAGGACTGGACAGGTGAGCTGAGGGTTGAACGCGTTGCGGAATGTTAAGCACCCAGGCCGGCATCTATCGACCGGCTCGCTCGGTGCCCCTCCTGGCGCTACTCTTACCCCATGCGCCATGCTTCCCGGCTCAGGCACCTTGCCCTGCGTCCTGCGCCGGCCGCGCCGCAGCAGACCAATGGGTACGACTGCGGAGCATGCACCGTGTCAGCAGCGCAGGCGCTCTGGCGCTGCCCAGTGGCCGATTGGCGCCCGCCCCTGCGATGTCTCCAGCGAGCTGCAGGGGCGCAGGCAATGCGCCGGGAGGTGGCGGCCTGGGTGCGCCTGGCAGCTGGAGGCACACTGGAGAAGGAATGAGGCGGAGGCTCTTGGCATGGCCAGAGATCAGGCCTCGGGCTTTAATTCCAGTACAACCTCACAGGGCGCTGGAGCGCCATGGACAATTCGTTGCGCTGGTCGTCCTCTGTGTCGTCATGCCGCCCTGCGTTTGGCGGGGTGAATGGGTTGAAAGTATGTGAGACAACAGAGCTGCACCGCGCAGATCATCCACCACTTGACCAGAGTGCTCACCGTTCTGAATCAAGTGCTCGGGCCCTGCGCCAACCCCACCCACTGCGCCTGGAAGTCGGCGGCGGGCACGACGGCCGAGGCGGCCGCCGCATGCCCACCTCCACCCAGGGCGGCCGCCAGCCCGCTCACGTCCACACCTCCCCGCGATCGCAGGCTCAGCTTCAGGCTGTGCCCCGCCATGCCCTCTTCGCGGTACGCCACCACGCCCACGGGCAGGAAGGGCGCGGCGCGGCCCCCTGCCGCGGCGGCCAGGGCGTTGCCCAGCACGCTGCGCACGCTGCGCCCCTCGCCGTCCCCGTCATCCAGCACGGTGGCCAGGCCCTGGGCAGCGCCCAGCGGCCCATCTGCGGGGCCCAGCCGCACGGGGATGGCCCCCGCCAGCGCGGCCTGCACCCTTCCCTCTTGCGCCGCCAGGCGTGCCTCGCCGGCGCGGCGCACCTCCTCTGGGTCAATTGCCAGCAGGTCGGACCACAGGCTCCGGTTGAGGTTCGGGTCGTACTCCATGCCCGCCGCCGCGAGGCCGGCGTGGAAGGCGCGACTGCCGGGCAGCTTCCACGTCCACAGGTCTGCGTCCTGGACATACTCGTACACGGCAGTCACCCTAGGTGGCAGGTCCTGCAGTGCATGGGGAGTGCATGGGGGTAATAAGGGGGTCAGGGCGAATGCTTCAATGGCGAGATTGCTGGGAAGATTGTCGGGGAAGGGGCTGGCTTGTGCAATCTGCAAAGCAGGAAGCATGGGGGACATGGCCTCCTCTCCACACCAGGCGCTGCATACCAGCGGCTGGAAGTAGTCGTGGGAGATCATGGCGCCGCTGCGGTGCATGTCAAACAGGATCTCAACGCCCTCCAGCCCCCGGATCTCGGGTCGCGCCAGGTCCGCGGCGGCGGTCTTGTGATGGTCCAGCACGATCACCCGCTTGGGGTGCTGAGCGGCCAGGGCGTCGACGAAACCCGGTGGTCCGGAGAAGTCGAGCAGGTACACGAGGTCGTCAGACTGCGCCCAAATATCACATGGGTACTGTTGGAATCATCTGGTGCCGAGTTGAAGGTCCAGGACCCAAGCAATGGCTCCCCCACCCGCAGATCACCTTGATGCCCAGGCTCGAGGGCGCGAGAGGCTTAAAGGTGGTGTGTGGCACCCACACCACCGGTACATTGCACTTGGAATAGTACTGCTGCAGCGCTAGTGCTGCAAAAACGCCATCATGGCATGGGTAATGGTACAGGCAATGGATGCGGGAGGCTGGGAGGTCGCGCCCCAGTATTCGCGCAGCCATTGGGCGAGCTCCTGGGAGGCAGGACGAACGCGATCAGGCTAATTTGTTGATCATTGCTAGGGGTGATGATTAGTATGCATCGGCCGAGTTGTGCTGTGGTTGGGATCGGGGGCATCTCCACCACCCACAACGAGCATGACATAAACTGCGACGTCGACGATCAGCGCGCGCTAACCTCCAGAGGTCAAGAGCGTTAAAACAGCCGCGAAACATCAGCACCAGATAGTCCTTTCGTTTATGGTAGCATTTAAGAACATGTTTGTGTGCACTTGCTGGCGACCTGCTCCGTGATACCAGCTGAGAGATGGCCACCCTGACCGCCGTGGATGTCAGCAGCAATGGCCTGGCCGCAGTTGCTGCCCTCCTGACGGTCCTGGCCGGCCTAATATTCCTTTTGTACAGGCAGAAGGGGCCTGTCAGGCCTGCAGCTTCTGTGGCGGCCCCCCCTCCCGCAGCCAACGGAGTGAAGACGGGGAGCCACGTTGAGGAGGAGCTGCCCGCCGACCGGGTGCTCATCCTGTACGGCACCCAGACCGGCACCGCGGAGCGCTTCGCCAAGTCCCTTCGCTTCCAGTTGGAGGCCCGGTACGGCGGATCGGGCAAGAAGTTCGTGGCCCTTGACACTGAGGGGTACCCTGCCGCCAAGCACCTCCACCATGAGTCCTGCGTGCTCCTGCTCATGGCCACCTACGGCGACGGCGAGCCCACCGACTCTGCCGCCGAGTTCTATGACTGGGCTGTGGAGACCGCGGAGTCTGGCGACGACCCTGAGCTCCTCAAGGTGGGGCTGGTATGCGAGGAGGCTTGGAATGTGTGTGGTGGAGATTGCTGGAGTGTCTGGGCTCTGGGTGTGGCAGCGTACAGAGGCTCTGGGAAGTGTGTTTCCCGGGGGTTGGAGGTGGGGTGTGGGTGTGTTAAACGTTGGAGTCAGGATCGGTCAGGATGCTGGAAACTGCAAAACAGAGAGCTACTTGGTGGATCTCCTTCCGCTGTTTGTATGACGGGATTCCTGCTGCGCAAACATCGGCGGCCGCCCATCACTCAGCGCACCCCCCCCCCACTATCAAGCCCCACCCGAGGACCAGTCCCTCAGCGCCGCACCCACACCCTCCTCCATCCACCACCTCCGCAGTCCGTGACCTACGGCGTCTTCGGCCTGGGCAACCGGCAGTACGAGCACTTTTGCGCAGTGGGGCAGCGCCTGCATGGCGTCATGGCGGACCTGGGGGCCAGCCCCCTGCTGGACCCCGGCCTGGGCGACGACGACGACGACATCGACGACGACTTCGACGAGTGGACCCTGGCCCTCTTTGCCGAACTGGACGCGCGCGGCGACCTGGGTGCCGGGGCCGTGGGCGGCGCGGGCGGCGCCGCCGCCATCCCCTCCTATGCCGTCGAGACGGCGCCGGCCGGTGCAGCGCCCGCCGACGCCGACGCCCAGCGCTGCCGGCAGGGCCGGGGCACGGCGGCGCACGACCCCTTCCTCGCCTCCGTGCTGGAGGTGCGCGAGCTGCACACCGCGCTTTCCACACGCTCCTGCGTCCATGTCGAGCTGGACCTGGCCGGGTCGGGCATCGCCTACGCGCCAGGGGACCACGTCGCCATCTTTCCACGCAACGACGACGCCGTCGTGGCCGAGGCCGCGCGGCTGTTGGGGGCTGAGCCCGACTCCTGCTTCACGCTCGGCGCCGCGCCGGGCGGCCCCGTCCCTCCCTTCACTGGTGCGGCCGAGGGCGGGTTGGGAAGGAGTGCTTCCTTCTGGGCAAGCGCTGGGACGGAGAGTGACCGTGTGCGCCGGAGGACCCCAGGCCATTGGCCATGGATGCCCACTGGGCGGGCTGTTTCAAGGTGGTGTGGCCCGCACCCGAACCCCTCTTAAATCTCTAAACCCTCATCGCCCGCCTCATCCCAGGGCCCATCACACTGCGGGAGGCGCTGGCTGCCCACGTGGATCTGCTGGGCCTGCCCAGCAAGGCCGCGCTTTCCACCCTGGCGGCGTTTGCCAAGGACAAGGCGCAGGCCGCGCGCCTGGCGCGCCTGGCGGCGCCGGAGGGCCGGGACGAGTACCACGCCGAGGTGGTGGCCCCCCGGCGCAGCCTGCTGGAGGTCATGCGGGAGCACGCCTCTGCCCAGCCCAGCTTGGGTGAGAGGGAGGGGGGGAAGGGGTGGAGAAGAGGAAGCAGAGGGTAGTTGAGGAGAGGTTTCGTGGGCGCGGGAACACACCGACGGGCCGTCAGCTTTGAGCTTTTGAATGCTACCTCGTATCCAGCCCCGTCATCCCTGTTGCGGCTGCAACAACGTGGTCTGGCGACCTGTCCCGTAGCTAGGTCGCCCCTGAGCCCTCTGTCTTTCCAGGGCAGAACAGGCAACCCACTTCCCCCAAAATACAACCTCCAGGCGCATTCTTTGCCTCGGTGGCAGACACGCTGCAGCCCCGGTACTACTCCATCTCCTCGTCGCCCCGCGCCCACCCTGCCGCGCTTTCCATAACCTGCGTGGTGGTCGACGAGGAGCTCCCGGGCGGCCGCCGCCACCGCGGCGTGGCCTCCTCGTATCTGGCGCGCCTGCGCCCGGGCGACCGCCTGCCCGTGTTCGTGCGGCGCTCCGCCTTCCGCCTGCCCGCCGACCCCGCCACGCCCATCGTCATGATCGGGCCGGGGACGGGCTTGGCGCCCTTCCGCGGCTTCCTCCAGGACCGCCAGGCAGTGCTGGAGGCGCGGTCCGGGAGCGGGGGAGCGTCCACAGCTTTTGGTCCGGCCACGCTCTTCTTCGGCTGCCGCCAGCCCGACCAGGACTTCATTTATCGCGAGGAGCTGGAGGGCTGGGCGGCCAGCGGCGCGCTGAGTGTGCTGCACACCGCCTTCTCGCGCGCCGGGCCGCGCAAGGAGTACGTGCAGCACCACATCGAGGCGGCTGCCGAGGCGGTGTGGGACGTGCTGCAGGCGCGGAGCGGCTGCCTCTACATCTGCGGCGACGCCAAGGGCATGTGCCACGACGTGCAGCTGGCGCTAGCCGCGCTGGCAGGCCGGGCGCTGGGCGCCGGCGAGGAGGCGGGGGCCGACTGGCTCAAGCGCCTGGCGGCAGAGGGGCGCTTCATGCGCGACGTGTGGTAGGCCAATCCCATACAAAGAGGTGGGCGAGGCCTGAAGCAAGGCACCTGCTCCCGAGAGGAAGAGCGATGCGATGGGGCCTTGGATTGTAAGGGTGCCTTACTCGCACCGTCGCCGCTGTTCCTCCCCCACCACACTCCCCCAATCTCAGACTGCGTTTGCTTATGTATGCCTGTGCTTCCTGTGGGCGAACTCATTTTGTACCAGAACTTGCCACGCTGTCCCCCCTCGTGCCGGCACTCAGAGGGATTGCAGTGGCAGCACAAAGGCCATCACAAGGGTGATTGGACTTGTGCAGCAAGGCATGGGGTTTGCAAGCTGCGAGAGCAGCAAGCTTGGCAATCACATGCGCACCTCACTCCTCGTCATCGTCATCGTCGGCGAGCTGATACTCCTGTGTGGGACAGTACATGTGCGAGGCTGAGCTGTGGCGACTGAGGTGGAGCTCGTCAGTGGCAATCACTGCCAATGGAGCATCAAGCACCCATGACACATCACCAGGCACGTCCGTGGCACCTCCTTGGAGCACCATCCTGTGCCCTCTCAATCCACTGGCTGCAATGCACACTCTGCACTCCAGCCACCTTGTACCCCACTCCGCTCATGCCCACTCACCATGGCGACGTCCCACCGACTGCCCGGCGCGGCGGCCGACACATACTTGACAAACTTGAGGAGCTCCGTCTCCTCATCGCGCAGCACCAGGCTGAGGCAATTGGCGGCAGGGGAGATGTTGAGCACGCCCGACTCCGACTCCCCCGCCGCATCCCCCGGCGAGCGGTACACCTCGGCCGTCTCTGCGGCGCCGGCGCCGCCCTCCCCCTCATCGTCGGCCAGCATGTAGGCCTCGTAGCCGCCCACCTCGCCCCCCTCCCAGGCCTCGCCGGCCCCGGGGCCGGAGCCCAGCATGCACAGCACGGCGTCCAGGCAGGGCGCCGCCGCCAGCACACCGTGGTGGGCCACCGTGTAGTCCATGCCGCGCCGGAAACGGCGCACCTCGCCACGCGCGGTGCACGGGCGCAGTGTGGTCATCTAAGCGGGGGGGGTGGGGTTTCAGGAAAAGCAGGGGGAGGTGAGGAGGAGCTGGGAATTGGCGAGCAGCTCGAGGGGAATGGATACCTGTTATGCAAACTGGATCGGCTCAGGAAGGACTGCAAATTCGACTCTCAAGGGGCGGCATGGCAACCTGGCATACAAGGCGTCATTGAACCTGGGCACCCAGCAGCCGATCTGGCCTATTGCTGGCACGCTGAGACATGCACTGCATGGCCACACCCCGATATATCGCCGCCTCTCCACCATCTCACTCTCCATTGCACCCCTCCCATCAACCCCTCAGCCACTGACTCATGCGAATACTCAAGGGTCGAGCTCTCCAGGCCAGTTCCACACCTTTTCGACGAGGTGCGCGAAAGCGGAGCTGGTGAGGAGCTCCTCCCGCACCCGCTCCAGTATGGGTCCCGGGTCCGAGCCGGCCTCCGGCGTGCCGGTTGGCTCGCCACTGTACCGCAGGTACCGCTGCTTGAAGGCCGGCCCCACGGCCTCCCAGCTTGGGCCCAGGCCCACCGTGTAGGATGCCGGCGGTGGGCCCTCCCCCAGCCCGTCCCGTTCATCCGCCGCCTGGCAGGCTGCCGTCGCCGCCCGCGCCAGCTCCGGTTTGAGGAAGGCCTGCAGCTGCACCGACCCCTCCTCCCGGAAGCGAGCGGCCACCTTGGGCCAGGTGGCCTCCGCCAGGTAGACGGGGTTGACGTAGCGGGCCAGCACCTCGAGCTCCGCCTCGGGCAGGGGCCCCGCAGTGGCTGCTGCGTCGCTGCCCCCAGGCTGGGCGCCGGGCATGAGCTGGAAGTCCCGGGTCCGGGGGTCTGACTGCAGCTGCAACTGGCGCAGCGTCGCCGAGTCGGCGCCCTCGGGGGGAGTGTCCCGGTGGAACCAGCCCTGGGCGGGAGCGGGGGGGGGCATTGCTGTCCACACCGATCCGTGTATTTGGGTGATGGAGTGCGAGGGTACCTGAGCAGAGCCACATGCTCAGGTGGAAGATGACCACACCTTCACACCAGCCACCCCGCCAACAAACCTGGATGCTCATCCGGGGCTGGTCCACAGTAAAGTTCTCCTGGATGGAGTGGAAACTGACGCCTGGCTGCACCGCAAACATGGCCATGGTGTTCCAGAGGGGGAGCACGCTGGCGCTCGGGAAGACGGCGGGCTGAGACTTGAGCTCTGCTCAGGGTTGAGGGGGGAGGGGAGGAAGTGGGTGAGCAGGAGCTACCCGCAATGCAGCATGGTGTAGTCATGTTTCTGATCCATGGCAAAAGTGTAAGCCAGAGCCCTGGGTATGAAGGCACTTCCTCCACGGATGCCAAGCTCGAGACTCACCCCAATCCCTCAGAGCACCCGGCGATGACCACCCCGCCAAGGTGTGCACCCCACTGCGCACACACACGAAGCATTGCGGCCCTACCTGGGTCCTGGGGGTAGAGCTCCAGCAGGCCGCCATTCTCTGCCTTCCAGGGCCGCTCCGGGTCTGTGAGGTAGATGATGAAGGACACCGCCCGAGTGCCGATGACATCGTCGTGGCAGAGCAGGTGGCCGCCCCGGGCGTGCACATTGCAGGCGCAGTCGGTGCGGTCCGACAGCTCCCCGCACCCCGTCACCGCGGAGACAAAGGCGCGGAAGTCGGGGCTGTAGAGCGCGTCGCGCAGCGCCCGCACCGTGGGGAGCTTGGCCGCGCTTTCCGCATCCAGGCCGTCCAGGTTGGCGAGGTCGCCTGCTGGAGGTGGGGGAGGGAGGGGGATGAGCGTGTGGACCCAGGTATCCATGCCCCATTCCCCACGGCCGTGATGCAAACGCGCTGGAGCAAGGTGAAGGCAAGCGATTCCCAACTGGCCTGTCTGGAACATGTTGAACAGGTCCGTCTCCTTGTACGTCGCCTGGACGTTGGAGATGATCTCCTCGCGCACCGCTGCCAGGGCATCGTGCTCGCAGATGTCGGTGATGACGCAGTGTGGGTATGGCTGGGCTGCCTTGTACGCTGCTGCCAGCGCCTCCCGCGACTCCGTCCCCGTGACACTGGGCCGGATGATGTCGACGGCATGGCCTGCTGTCTTGGCCTTCTTGGGCACTGGCTCCGAGTCTGTGGAGTCATGTGTGTCATTTAATTAATAAGAAAGGACGTGCATGCGGTTGCTTTACATAGAGGGGCATGAACCTTCTCACAGGCGAGGTCGTCGCCATCGACCAAATCGACAGAAGCTCACCAGAAGTCATGTTTGTATAGTTTATATGCGAGAATTTATATGTGGTAAGTTTATACCACTTCTGACGGATCAAATTCGGTCACTGCTAGTATTTGCTCTGGCCATGCACGTAGACATCATGCAGAGCTGCGCGCGCGCGCCATACAGCATTCCTACTTGAAAACTTGTGCGATCGTGACGCAGCATGCGGGGTTTGACAGTACGGCTTTCCCGGCAGCTTGTCCACAGGAAGTGTCCGAGTCCAGCAATAACGCCTACGAAGGAGCCATCGCGAGAGCGCGCCAGCCTTGGCACGAGGCGTGATCACTATCTGGTGGCGAGGTGCATCGTCTGACACTGGTCCCTTGCCTTCGATCATGTCCTCTATCTGATTGCTTTATAGAGTGACCCCTTCAGATCGCACATGGAGAACTCGGGCGTCACGCACCAGTACGGCGCAATCTCCTTGGCCCAGAGGGGAGGAGCGGTGAGCGGGCTTTGGCCTGGGAGCATGAATGTTGCGTCCACAGGAAGAGCAACATGCGATTCATTCTCTTTGAACCCTCCTTTACGTGGATCTCCACTCCTTCCACACAAACACACAGGCATCTGGCGCCCTGAAGGCCTCCAGCGCTGGGCTGTCGTGGAAGCGGTCCAGTGGAGGGAAGGCGGTGGACGTCCCTCTCGCTGGTGAGCCTGATCGTTTGATGGTGCTGTTGTGTGTGGAGTGCTGAACCGTGTGCGGGGCGGGGCATTGTTTTGGATATGCATCCGTGGATCCAAGGCTTCCCTGACATGGGTAACTGTAATTTCCTTTCAAGGGTGGGAACCTTTCACCCCCCTGCCAAGGATCAGGTTGCCTCACTCTCCTGGAATGGTGCTGCCTTCATTGACACCAGCTCATTCAACCCACTGCTACCCCCCAGCTCCCCACACTCACACCGCCTCCCCACACAACACCCAGATATCAAGTCCCTGGCCTGGTCCCGGGGCCAGAAGCACAGCATGCTCAGCGTGCAGCGCGTGGACGGCTCGTTCCTGGGCTTCACTGGCTTCCGCGACGGCGACGCCACGACCCTGGCCTCCGCACTTTCCCGGCCCGTGCCCGAGCAGGCGCAGGCCACGCTGGGGCACAACTGGGGCGACGCGGCGGCCGACGGCGCGGGCCTGACCTTCAGCGTCGGGGGCGGGCCGGCCTTTCGCCTGCCCCTCACCGACGTGGTCCAGGCCCAAGCTGTGCGCGAGGAGGTGATGCTGGAGTTCCCCGCCGACGACGCGGCGGCGGGGGAGCACGTGGACGCGCTGACCGAGGTCTCCTTCTACCTGCCCAAGGCGCCGGCGCCGGCGGCCGCCGAGGCTGGGGAAGCAGGCGGGGACGAAGTCACGGAGGCCCCCTCCGCCGCGCGAGCGCTGCTCCAGGCGGTGCTGCCCTACACCGACGCGGGGGCGGCCACGGGCGACGCCATTACCTCCTTCGACCAGGTGGCGGTCATCGTGCCGCGCGGCCGCTTCGACGTGGAGATGTACGCCTCCTCCCTCAAGCTGCTGGGCCAGGCCCAGGACTTCCGCGTGGCCTACGACACCATCCTCCGCATCTTCGTCCTGCCCAAGACCAACGTGCCCCAGACCCTGGTGGTCATCTCCCTAGACCCGCCCATCAGGCAAGAGGGGCTTGGGGTGTGGGTGTGAAGGGGGGGAGGTGGAGAGGGTTTGCGGGGGGGCCGGAGCTGCTGGTGGGAATGGGGCAGGAGAATCCTCTACATGGCTCCTCACCACCCTAAAACCCTCACCCCCTCCCCACCCCACCACCCTGTACAGGAAGGGTCAGACCTTTTACCCGCACATCCTGTGCCAGTTCCCCAGCGACGAGCAGGCCACCCTGGAGCTGGACATCACTGACGAGGCGCTGGCAGCCAAGAACGAAAAGAACGGCGGGAAGCTGCAGCGAAGCTATTCGGGCCCTGCCACCGACGTCTTTGCGCGCGTGCTGCGGGGGCTGTCGGGCTCCAAGCTCACGCGCCCGGGCGCCTTCCGCGACGCGGAGGGCTCGGGCTTTGCCGTCAAGTGCTCGTACAAGGTGGGTCGTGGGTTGGGTATGCGGCACAGGGGTTGCAGTGGCAAAAGGCTGTGCATGGGGCTTCTGGTGTGCACCGTGCGGTGGCGGCGACGATCCGCCATGACCAAGCGCGCCCTGGTCAGGGCAGACCTGCGAGCACATACTCACCCGCCCCACCCCATGCTGCACGCAGGCGGACGACGGATACCTGTACCCGCTGGAGCGCGCCTTCTTCTACGTCCAGAAACCGCCCCTGCTCCTCGTCTTCGACGACGTGGACGCCGTCGAGTTCCTGCGCCCCGCCCAGGGTGGGCAGGCTGTGGCGTGGCGCCGCATGCGGCTGATGGGGCATGCTCGCTGTCTCTGCGAAGGGTTGTATGCTGGGCACCTCCCAGCACGCCGCGTGAAATACGGAAAGCCCTTTGCAAAACATATCCGTGTGGTCATGACTCTGCGTGTGCCCGTACACAGGCATCCCCTGCCCCACACTTCATTCAAACGCAGGCGTGACGGCGGCCAAGACCTTTGACCTGAGCGTCCGGCTGCGCAACAGCCAGGACTACCTGTTCCGGGGCATCCCGCGCGGCGAGTGGACCAATCTCTTCGAGTTTATCCAGGCCAAGCAGCTGCGCATCGAGAACTTCAAGGAGGCGCAGCAGGGCCCTGGAGCCACCGCGGTGTCCTATGCCGCCCTGGGCGGTGGTGAGCTGCGCGTGTGGTGGCGGGCCAGCTTGCCCTGTAGCAATACTATGTGGGGCAACACAGCTCCACGCGAAGCTTGGAAGGGCAGGTGGGCCAATTTTCTCTGGTCCCAATATGTACCCCCTCCCTCACCATTTCCCCTAACAACGCACGCAATGCCAGGTCTGGGGGAGGAAGGCGGTGATCTGGAGGAGGACGAGGACGAAGAGGACGAGGACTTCGAGGCTGGGGTGGAGAGCGAGAGCTCGGATGGGGAGGACGAGGACGAGGAGGGCCAGCCGATCGTGGTCCCGGAAGACGACGAGGAGGTGCGCGGGCGCCGGTGTGAGGGGGCGAGACTGGGCGTGATATACGATCATGGCCATCGGCGTGGTGATCGGGTGTGGATCAGGGCGAATAGTGGGTTCCGGGGCGGGTTTGTGTCGCGGATGCAATCCCGCGCGGGGGCCGATCGCCCCGGGACGGTCCAGCTGCCCCTCAGCGCCTGCACAGCAACGGAGGGCATGTGCCCGTGATCGGGGGCCCCCTCTCACTGTGTGGGACATCCCCTGCATCGGCCCGTCCTCCTCACAATTCAAATCGTCAGCCCGGCATGCTCGCCGTCTGTCACTCCGCCTTGGGTTCTTTTCGCACCTTTACTCCGCCAGCCCGCCCCAGTCGCACCGTAGTTGCGTTTCCCCGCCTCAGCTCCCGCTCATCACCCCGCTCCCTCCTCATGGGCAAGCAGGACGAGAAGCCCGCAAAGAAGGTCAAGGCCGCCGAGGATGCCCCGGCCAAGAAGACCAAAGCTCAGTCCAAGGCTGAAGGTATGCTGGGATCAAAATGCGAGTTCGTGTGGGACAGGGTCGGCCACCCATCGGTGGTCGGGAAGCTCACTTGCACCCATGCCCCGGGATCCGGGGCCCTGTTCCCTTCGCATCCCTACCTCCCAACCTAGCCTCCCTTCCGCTCCACCACGCAGGCGGTGTGAAGAAGGCTCGCAAGAAGAAGGACAAGAATGCGCCCAAGCGCGGCATGTCTGCCTTCATGTTCTTCTCCCAGGACCAGAGGGAGTCGGTGAAGGCCGACAACCCCGGCATCGCCTTTGGCGAAGTAGGCAAGGTGCTGGGCCAGCGATGGAAGGAGCTGTCAGAGGCGGACAAGAAGCCGTACGAAGAGAAGGCCGCCAAGGACAAGGTGCAGCGATATGGGGTTGGGAGTGTTGCGAGGGCGGCAGGTCCTCCTTGCGGGGCTCACCTGGCTTCCTGGGTCCCTCTCTGGGGCTGGTGATGGCGATGCTTGTGGTCAAGCACGCTCCACTGCGCTCAACCCTGGCTGCTTCGACTGCACAGGAGCGGTATGAGAAGGAGAAGTCGAGCTACGAGGGCGGAGCAAAGCAGGAGGACACCCCTGCCGCAGAGGCCGGCGGCGACGATGATGATGACGACTCCGAGTGATGCTCAAGCGTCGGTCACGCTCCCCCTTCATTGATGAGTCTCTGCCGTGTGCCCTGCTTCTTTGCTTGTCCTGACTTGATCCCGCTGCCTTTCACCATGACCGGGTGCGACCCTGCAGGGGTGTAATGCTCGGCCCCCTGCCTTTTCTGGGTGGCAAATGATCAGCAAAGCATGGCGAGGCGTCGTATTCTTCATCGGGGGCCAAGGTTGGGCATGCCGTGGATGACAGCCGAGTCTCTCAGGAGAGCAGGCTACTCGTGGCACCCTCTTCAGAGGTCCTGGTGTGCTGACCTGATCTCAGGATGTTCCTGGTCCTGGGGCTGCTCCTCCCCCGGCTCCCCCTCCCCCCCCACTTGCTGCTGCTGCTGCTGCTGCCGGGCCCTCAGCACCGGCAGGTCCATCTCGTCTGCGCACAGCTCTCCATACCAGTCCATGGCCGCCACCCCACACCTCCTCGCTCAGGTAGTCTCGCCGCCGGATGCACTGGATGGTGAGCTGCCCTGCCGCGTCGACTGCTGTGGTCCCTGCCGCGCTCCCAAACCCTGCACATGAGAGGATGGGGTATTGGGAACAGGTGTCATCGTGCTGGGCTGGTCGGCGGTGGAGCACACACGAGAGGCATGGTGCTGCGCGGCCCCTGAACGCGGAGTGTGCCTGACCCTCCCCACAGAAAGCCCAGCTGCTGATCTTTGTGCCCTCTGGCAGGAGCGATGCATGTGGTGGGCGCCCCATCACGTGCAGGCATTCGCCCCCTTCCACCCTCCCATCGGCGTCGCTCGCGAGCACCCCCGCCACCTCGCCCCCCGCCCGCCTCGCCCCCCGCCCGCACAACCCCACACCACACACCCGCCCACCCCTCTCCTCCCCCCCCCTCCGCCTGCCTGCTATGTCGCCATCAGAGGACAGGGCCACCGCCACCACCTCCGCCCCCGGGTCGTGCTCCATGATCCAGTCGAGGTCCTGGCGCGACACGCACGCCCCGCCCCCGGCCTGCCACGTCATCATGTCGCGGTCGTCCCAGACCCCCCCGCCCCAGGCGCAGGCCTGGGGCGAGGGCGAGTGGCTGAACAGGCAGGCGTCTGTGACGTGCGCGGCGGCCCAGCCGTCGGCCGCCAGCGCTGCCGCCAGCAGGCCGTCGGCATGCTCCGCGCCGAGGTCCGGCGCCGCTACGGCGCGCGCGCCCGCGCCAAAGCCGCGCCGCTCGCGCAGGAAGCGCGCGTACCGCAGCACGTAGGCCCCCAGGTCGGTGTGGCACCAGGCCAGGCGGTTGCGCTTGCAGGCGGGGGCGGGGGCGGGCAGCGTGGCCAGGCGATCGCACTGCGGCGCGGTGGGGCGCTGGTAGCGCGAGTAGAAGTCGAAGGCCACGACATCGGCCGAGCCGCGCGCCGCCTCGGCCGCCGCGCGGGCCAGGAAGGAGTCGGCGTACTCGTTGTCGCCGTTGGTCACCAGCAGCCAGGTGGTGTCCTCGGGGCAGGCTGCAGGGCGGAGGGAGGAGGGGGCTGGGGGGGTGGATTCATGGACACTGAGAGAGAAACGGCAAGGACAAAATCCCAACGCTGGGATAAGCGAACGGACGGATTGTAACAGTGGATCAGGGGGTCAGACACTGAGGTAGCAAGTGATGGGTGGTGCATTTCATGCAGCCCCCGGAGCCACAGAGCGTGATTCACATGGATGCCACTGCCCGTTGGCCCACCAAACACTGCATCGTCTGTCAGGTTGTATAAAAGGGCATGGTAGTAGGGCGACCACATCCCATCCTCCGTCTTGGCTGCAAAGTCGGGCCCAATCTGTGCGAAGATGGGTGCGCTGTAGGGCTTGATGAGAGATACTTGTTAAGGGGAAGGAGGACCCGGGCACTTTCCCCATGCACCAACCACGGCAGCTCTCTGCTGCTCACCCACTCCGCAAAGACCCAGATGCGGGGGTCGTCAGACGCGGCCACTATGCTGTGCAGCTCAGGGAAGGCAGCTCCATCCATGACCAGGATGACAGCTTCCCATCTGCAGGGGGTTTGGGAATGAGAGATCGGGTCTATAGGCCGTCATAAGAGCTCACAAAAGGGCAGTCCAACATGACTTGCACAAAGGGAACCATCCCGGCACCACTCGCCTACTGAAGCTCTGACGCTGCAGAGAGCGAAGGAGGCGCGGCAGCCCAGTCTCCGCGTCTGCATGACCCCTGTACGTCCGCACGACGATGCAGAATTTATTCAGAGACTCAGTTGAAGTGCTGTCGTTTGCAAGTACGGGAGTCGCGGCGAGAACTAGAATGAGCAAGCATGCCAGACCCCGATGCCAGGGCATGGCGTCGAATAGGACTGTGAAGAAGTGCTGATGGATCACGCGGAAGTCCTCTCGATCCGGCTGTCCCAATCAGCAGGTCGAAAGGAATATTTGGATAGCGCATTGCTGATCATGGCCGTGGCCGGAGGCGCCGATTGCATCGTGCTGTGGTAGATCATCTCCCGACAGCATCAAGTTGCGAAACAAGTTTTCACTGTTTCCTCAAGGAATGGGACCCAGCGACTGATACGAGAAGAAAACGGCTTCTGAAAGCCTCAGTGTCACATGGGCGTCAGCAACAGCAATGCGAAAGTATCTTATGGTCTGCGCCCCAGTGTATAGAGCGTTGTTATGCGGCATAATTGAATGCAAGGGGAGACGAGCCCAGGGACTTGATGGGCTCCTCCCCTCCCTCGTCAGTCATGGTCCTGTGGTGGGGCGGCACCCTCCCCGCTGCCCTCCTCGCTTTCGCTCTCGTGCGGCCGGGGGAAATGGGCCCCGATGAAGGAGCCATAGTCTCGCTCCGGGTTGGCGACGATAAAGTCCTCAAGGTCGGACAGCTCCCCCTCGCCCACGCACTCGCCCCCCTCCTCACACAGCACGGCCTTCAAATAAGGGTTAGTCACCCTGGCCAGCCTGGCACGGCGCCGGGCCGCCGCGTTCCGCCCGGCGCCGGGCGCCGGCTGAGCGGGCGGGGCGTCGGCGTCCGAGGATTCCGGCGACGCGGGGCTGGCATCCGCGCCGTCCGCGCCGCCCGGCTCCCCAGGGTCGAAGAGGCGGGGCGCCGCGTCGGCGGTGGAGGCCAGCGCCGCCACGCAGGCCTCGGGGCAGGTGCGGAGGAGCTCGGCGCAGGCCGCCTGCAGCCCCATCACCTCTTCCAGCAGGCGTCGCGCCTCGAGCGCCGCCGCTTCGTGTACCGCGACGCACCCCCCCACCCTGCCGGCCAGCTCCAGGCTCAGGGCCAGGACCTCCGCCGCAGCGTGCGCAGCGTGGGGCGGGGTGGCGGCGCGCGGGTCCCGGCTTCCCCGCCCCGCATGAGCGCAGGTCAGCGCATCCAGCTCGGCAGCCAGGCGGGCGAGCGGCCGGCGGGCGCAGGCGAGGCAGGCTGCCATCAGGTCCAGGGCGCCACTCACCAGCGAGGCCGGCGGGGCAGCGCCGGGCACGATGGGGCGACCCGCCGGCTCGCAGTCGCACGGAGAGGGCGGCCGACGCGGACTCGCATCGGCCCTCGCTTTCCCGCGATGCCCCAGGTCGCGACATGGCGCCCCCCCCTGGCGTCCAGCAGCACCTCGCACGCACAGGTGGCCGCCACGTCCCACACCGGCAGCAGGGCCAAAGCCGTCGTAGCTGGTGTCGCTGCCGCGTCGTCCGCCGTCTGTGGGTCTGCGGGCGTCGCGAAGATTGCGATCCCCGTCCATCCCGCAGCCGCCGCCGCCAGGCGGCGGAACAGCCAATCCAGGGCAGCGCGGAGGGTGTCGCCCCGGACCCCCACCACAGGGTGGTCGAGTGCCTCTTCCACCACCCAGTCCGGCAAGGGGTCCTCCGTGCAGTCTGCATGCCCTGCAGCATGGAAGGCGAGCCAGGCCAGTGATGCCCAGACTGTCACAGCCTTGTCCTGTGAGGGTGTAAGCAAGGGGTTACTAGGAGAAGTGCTTGCGAATGTGGTCGACACGGAGATGCAGGGAGGGGGTGCCCAGGCCGACCTGCACTGTGAGGGACTTGGTAGAATGAAAGCTCCTCGTGCAAGCCAAAAGAATACTTGTCTGAAACAACACATCGCTCATGCCACCACCCACGCACCGCCAGCTCTGGGGCTCTGCCCGGGGTCGGTTCCAGGTCCAGGAGGGCAGTAGCGGATGATGGGGTGAGATTGGATGGGCCCAGGCGGCTGCTACTCAGGACCTCTCGTAGGATGTCTGGTAGCAGCGCCAGCGGCGCATAGCGAGCCACCCGCTCTGTAAAGGTTGTGTGTGGGAGGAAAGCAGGATCACGGACGGCACACTGAATCCTGCAACAGTGCGACGGACTGGGTGCAGGGCTTTGGCGCACCTACCCATAACCCCCGCTCTGAAACCCCCTCTCGCCCCAACTTGAGGACCCACCCGCGAGAGCAGCCTGCTTCGCCTCCTGTCGCGCCAGTGGCATCAGCCAGCAGAGCAGCTTCAGCACAGCTTCCAGCCACACCGGCGCGGCCCAGCGTGCACGTCGCGTGACCAGCTCGTGGAGGTGCAGGGCCAGGGTCAGCCCCACCATGCCCAGCGGGCAACTGGAGGCCCCTGCGGCGGGGCAGGTGAGACGGAGTGGGGCGTCGATGGGCAGGAGAGGGATGTGGACAGGTCGCCCCTGAACAGCACAGAGTCCAGGGACCGAGCGCCGATCCGAGCCTAGTTCAGAGCAGACGGCCCCACCCCCTCACCCCTCCACCCCCCTCACCCTGCATGGCGGCCGTCCAGCAATTGCGGCTCTGGAAGCCCAGCAGGCCCAGCGCGGCCTGCACCCCCAGCGCCACGGCATCACTTCCCTCGAGTGGGGGCAGCAGGGCCTGGACCCAGGCCAGGGGTCCATTCGCAGCCCCAACCTTGTCCCCGGCATAGACCTCCCCCGCGCCGTCACAGGCGCGCAGCGTGCACAGGGCCAGGCCCAGGCAGGCGGCGCCGGCGCCCTGCCACGGCGCGGCCACGCTGGTCTCCAGGAAAGAAGCGGGCAGGGAGGCCGGAGCGCCGTCCGCCGTCCCGCCCCCGAACGCAGCGTCCAGGGCGCCATCCACGCCGCCCCCGCCGCGCGCGGCGGGGGGCGGCGCGGAGTCCTCGTCGAACCAGTCCCGGTACCGGGCGTCCTGGAGTGAGGAGGGGAAGAAGGCGCTTCAAGAAGGAAAGATGTATGATATGAGCTCCTGCTGAGCCTCACACATGCCATATGCTGCGCAGGTAGATTTGTAGGGCAGCGCCCCCTCCCCCGAGCCCCCTTGGACCCTGCCACCCTAGACTCACCCCCAGCAGGTCCAGCATGGACTCCTTGTCGGCGATGTAGGCCGCCCACATGGCCTCCCGCTCCTCCTCGCCCATGTCGGGGGTGGGGCGCATCAGCACCCGCGCCGGCGGGAGAGACCCGGAGTCGGAGTCCGGCTGCTCGCCGGAGGCTCCACTCCGGCCCGGGGAGGGCGGGCCTGGCGCAGGGATTGGTAGCAGCGGGAGCTCGGCATCCAGGCGCTGAGGCTGGATTCGGCGCCGCGGGGGCTCACTGGCGGCTGGCGGTCCTGCTACCCCGGCATGCAGCTCTTCTGTACCGAGGTCAAGGGGTGCAGGGGTGGCAACCTGCCCATTGCCCTGCATGGGTTGCAAGGCAGCATCACCCATCGCGAGGAGTGGGTGCACTGCAGGGGCCTCTAGGCTCCCTTCCTCCATGCTCGCCCTGTTGCTGGGGAGGGGTCGTTCCGCTTCTTCTGGGACCCTGCCAGCCGCTAGACGCGCGTCGCGGGCGCCTCCCCACTGCGACGCGCTTTCCCCCTGTGACTGATGCCCTGCCCCTGCCCCGCCCAGGAGGAGGGCGAGCAGGTCGGGGGGAGGGGCTGCCGCCGCCTCTTGTGCCTGCCGCTGCCGCTTTGTCGCCTTGCCTGTGCCCTTTGGGGTAGGCTGGCTCTTCTGCACCACGGTCGGCCGCCCCGCCCCAGCGAGCGCGTCGTGCAGGCGGTAGGCAGTCATCAGCGCTGGCCCGCCGTGTCGGACCCCGGGGTGGAGCACCAGGTGTGGCGCCGTCAGGCCCTGCAAAAGCAGAAGGGGTTGGTGTCGGATGGGACCACAGGGAATTGGCGAGCATGAGAGGGGGAATAGCCGGCAGCGGATGTGTGAGATGAGGGGGCAGGAATGCCCTGATCCAGGTTCCAGGAGACTCGCCAATGTGCCCAAGGAACCTGGCACCGCCCGCGGCACCCTCCCAAGGAAGAACCTTCTGACTCCCACCAACTCGCCTGGATGCAGGCGCAGTGCCCCAGCCAGACGAGGCGCAGGGCCTCAGCATGCGCAGCGTGGTCTCCACCGGTCGCAAGGGGGCCCTGAGCCACGAGGCCAAGCGCATGGGCCAGCAGCGGTGGCGCCAGGCCGATGCGGGGCCCCTGGCGGCCCCCGACGCCGTCTGGGTCCAGGAGCAGCCGCAAGATCTGTGCTCGCAGCGGGGGCGGCCAGTCGACCACGTCGGAGCTCCGGCTGCCTGGTGAGAGGGGGGTTCTTTTGTGTGTGTTAGGGGAGGAGGGGTGGAAGGGGACATGAGTGGGAACATGGAGGAGGTAGAGCCAGTCAGCATGGCGCTACGCCGCACATCACTCATCTGACACGCTGGCAGGAACGAATCAAGGGTCCTCGTACATGAGAAGTGCCCCACCGCTCATACCTAGCGCGGCGAGGTACTGCGCCAGCTCCCAGTGCACCGCCAGGAGGGTGGAAAGCGCGGCCAGCGAGGTCCTGGCACCCTGCACAGCCCCTGCCTCCTCCGTGACCGGCTGGAAAGCGCGGCCCGCGCAGTCCCCCGCCAGCAGCAGGGCCAGGGCCTGGATGCGCCGCGCCCGCTGCGCTGCCCGGCCCTCACCCCAGGCGCCGACGATGCGCACGACCGTGGCGGCACAGGACAGCTGCGCGGCGAGCGCCCGGATTGCCCGCCGGCGTCCCAGGCTGGTCGTGGCCGTCCCGGCCACGAGGATCAGGCGGAGGGCGGGCGCGGAGGCGGGGCTGGGGCGGAAGTCGGGGGGCTGAGTTGTGTCCTGTGTAGGATCTTGGGCCTCTTCAGCCTCCCCCCTCCCGCCGCCCTTCAAGCCTCCCGGGAACCCAGCCTCGAGGACATTCAGGGCGAGCGCCAGGAAGGGTTCCAGGCCATCCCGTGCGGACGCTCCCGTGGCCGCAGCCGTCGCTGTCGCTGCTGCCTGGAGGTGCCCCGCCAGCGACTCCAGGGCCCTGGCCTGCATGGCGTCCGGCAGGGAGGAAAGCACGCCCGCCAGCAGTCTGGCAGCGCCGGCGTGCGCCAGCACCAGGTCGGCGTGCCGCTGCAGGAGCAGGGACCACATCCACGGCTCCCGCTGAAAAGTCTGGTGGAGGGCGCTGCGGCACAGCTGGACGCGGGAGGGGCCAGGGGAGCGTGGTGATGGGCGGTGGGTTGGGAAGCAGTGGGATCGCAAGGCATGTGGAGGGGCAGGGGAACACACTGACTCCTCGAGAGCCCCCATGGCACCTGGGTGAGGTCTGGGGTGTCCAGGTCGGACGCTCGCTGCATGAGCAGGACGAGGCCCTGCGCCAGGGCTTGGCGCTGGGTGGATTGTACGCCGTACCCCTTTGAAGGGGTCCTCGGCTCATTCGGGGCCTTCTTGGCGGGCCTCAGGTTGGGAAATCGGGCCAGGATCGAAGCCAGTGAGGAGGGCAGCTCCGTCACCTGCGCGCAGAAATGTGATCGTCAGGTGGATCCTGTGACGAGACTGCTCTTTATTTTCTATCTCTAAGACAGAACCAGCCCATCAGGTATTGCTGGCGCACCGTGAGCTGCTGTACATGGGCTTCCACGGCGGACATGGCGTCCACCGTGGAGGCCCCAGCTGACAGCGATCGGTCGTCGAGCGGCTTTACGGGCGTGATGTAATCGGAGCTAGAATATATTCTATCCTTGCACGAGTGAGAACAAGCTTGAAGTCGTGGCTCAGCGCGTGGCATATGTGTATCTAACATCGCGCTCTGAAGATCGTCGCGATGCTTTTGAAACTATTTGAACAGATGTATCGGTCGGCAATCACCCATTAGGGGTCAAAGCTTGGAGAGAATGAGCAGGAGGACGGGGTCAGATTGGTCACGAATCAATCTACAGACGTCAAGGAAGGTGGGCTCGCTACGTCGCTGTCTGTCGCCAGGTGTCATTGGGGCTGGCGGATTATGGTTGCCTTGGGACCAGCACCATGCATTCGCTGGCGGCGGGAGTGTCTAGCCACAACCCTCGGCTTTGTGTGGTCCTGCGATGGCGACAGATGGCCCTCGACCGCCAGTTTCTGATCGACGGGCTGAGACTGGGTGGAAGGCACGCTGGCCTCCTCCGAGAAGAGCGCCTCCGTACAGCCCCGGGAGTCGGGCCCCTTTGGGCTGCACGGCTCTGAGGCGGATGCATCCATTCGAAGCTTCTTGGGCGGCGACATGTCATTGTCGATGTAGTGTAGCTCCTCCAGCAGCCCTTCGCTGCCAGTGGCAGACTGGATGTGTCTCAGGACTTGGGACATCTGTGCGATATCAGGCGTGGGAGTGGGGAGGCACGAGGGTCACAGGCATTGCATCGCCAAAGGTGCAAATGCTGCAGCGTATGTCACGCCGTGCAGACCCGCCCATCATCCATGTGTGGATGCCGGCGGAGCTGCCTACCTCGGACTCTACAGCCTGTTCGAGCTCCTCATCTGTCAACTGGTCCTGGCTTGCTCCTCTCTGAAGCAGGGGTGCCAGCAGGTCTGCAAGGGGTTGCACAAGGATGAAGGAGCCTGGCTCAGACCCTCGCCGCTGCTTTGCAGCGGCTGGCAGGAGCAAGCAACTGGGACTGACCGAGCATGGCACCCAGGGCATGCAGCCAACAACGTGCCTCTCCTCACCAAACGCAAACTCGGGGACCCTGTCTGCAGCAACGCTTGTGCTGAGTGCCTGGGGTGGAAGCCTGCAGCGGGGGTGGAGCATGAGATCGGGTCCCGATGCCTCGCCCTTCACGAGGGCAACATCTGCATGGTAGGTAGTCTTCTTCCAGCCAAAGATTTCACGGAAACCTCCATGCAAGGCTTCAATAACCACTGAATCCGCACGGCCCATGCTGTACCTCACCGCACGCTCTGGCTCAGACCCTGCTGGAGTTCCACCTTGGCCGTGACCGTCCCTGCAGAGAGGATGTGCTTTCTCTTTAACTGAGCATGGCCAGGAACAAGAGCAAGGATCCCCGCCTCCAGCAGGCACACGTACAGGAGCTTGTTGCGGTGCCCCCCACATCCACTCCTGCTCCATGGAACACCTCCGTCAGCTTGTCCAGCATCCTCGCTGGTGGCAGGACCACCCCTCCACGCTCCTCCTGTGATCCAGGTTCCAGTTCTTGACTGACGGAATGATGCAGTGAGTTGAGCACCCATCATGCGTCATAAACACACAGGGAAACAACCAAGCATCCTGATACAAGGCTCACAGCATCTTCTATGACGTCTTGCAGTGTGAACTGGGCGACAGCAGCCTCCCTGAAGTCTGTCGAGGCCAGCAGCCTATGGAATGCGGGGTGTGAGATCCTCGGCGTACATCGAGGCGGCCCATCCATGGCTATGGCACGCTCCTGTGCACCCAAATTAATCGCACATCTTGTATTCGTGGTCCTGGTCGCGACCTATCAGCCTGTAGATGCGGCGCGGCTCGGTCCCTGGCCTGCTCCTCCCATGAGCCCTGACGGCCGGCAGGGCCGGCATTGCTATCGCTCTGGCATCCTACCCCATGCTTCACATTCTCAGAAAGCATGCATGAGAATCTGTACAGCCCCAAGGCGTCGGCATGCAAGGGATGTGCTGCACTGTCGGAAGTTTTACGTTTTCGGAGAGCGCGCGCTCGCCGGCTGACAGGTTTCGACGTCCAGGGTCATAAGCATGTGGGCTGTCATTACACATTGGGGATCCATCCTGACTCCTTACGCATCCTCCCTAGTGTCCATGAGCACAGCCAGCTCATCCGGCGACAGCTGGATCCCCGGTAGCAACGCCGCTCCCTCCCAGAAATCGAGGCTGCTGTGCACCACCCTCTCCACTGCAGGGAGCTCTGGGTGCACCCTGCAATGCCTGGCCAGGCCCAGGAGGCGCAGGGTGCCGGGGTTCCTTTTGTCCTGCCACTCCACGCCCCGCCTGCTGGACACCAGGTCCAGAGCCTGCAAGCTCGTAGGCAGGCACAGGTCCAGGCGTCCCTTGGCCCCAAAGTTGCCGCCCGGCATCATCTGCTCGCCGTCGGTGTCCTGCACCCTCAGCACCCGCAGGCCGGCGGGCAGGCGCACATCCACTGTCGAGTGGCAGGCCACCTGGAGGACGGCCAGGCGCGGCCAGGCGGGGCGCAGCGTGCGTGTGAGACCCGTGTCCCACGCTATGCGGCCGCGCAGCGCAAGGCAGCGCAGGCTGCACAGGGACCCCAGCTGGTCCATGACCTCCTGCAGCCTGCTCTCCGGCAGCTCCAGGCGAAGAAAGGAGGAGGACAGGCCGGGGGGTCGGGCCACCCCCGCCACCGAGAGCAGCAGGAGCGGGGACTGGTGGAGGGCCTCCAGGCCCTCCACCAGCGCCTCCGGGGAGTGCAGCGCCAGACGGCGCAGCTCATGCAGCCCGGCGAGGGAGGCGGGGAGCTGGATGGCGGGGAGGAAGAGGGCCAGGGAGGCCAGGCGGGGGCAGGCTTCAGAGAGGCCCCGGAGCGCCTCGCCCGCATCCAGGCCCGGCGGGGCGGGCTCGCCGACGCGCAGCGTGAGTTTGCGTATGAGGCTCCAGGACCCCGGCACGGCTGCTGGCCCAAAGGCGGCCAGCAGCGCAGGCCTACGCAGGTTTGCAGGGTGGGCCTGGAGTTGAGAGTGTTTTGAGGAACGCAACTGATTTCGGTTGTGGGCTCTTGCCGAGGGACACATGCACCTAGGAAAGGGAACCTCAACCGCTCAGGCCGTCCAGCAGCTCCTTTCCCACCGTATCGAACCCAGTCAACTCCCTGCCCTGCCGTCAAACACCTTGCAAACCCACCACGTGACCCTGATGTCCAGCGACGTCAGGTGCGGGAGGCGGGACAGCTGGTGCAGCATGTCCTCGTCAGCCGCCGCGCTGCCCTGGAAGCGCAGGGCCAGGGCCTCCACCGACCCCGGCAGCTGGGGGATGTTGAGGTCCTCGGGTCGCAGGTAGTACAGCGTGAGCCGCTGCAGGGCTGGCGCGGCCGAGGCGGTGAGGTGGGGCAGGAGCCAGGCGTTCCAGGTGCCGATGCCAAAGGACACGCGGGCGGGGGGGCTGACGTCCAGCGCGCGCGCGGTGCCCAGCCTGGCGGCGATCATGCCCTCAAAGACGGGGCGGCGGTAGGCCGTGATGCTGGACAGGTTGATGGAGAGGTCGTGCCACAGCCCCGCCGCCAGGCAGGCCGCCGGGGCGGACTTGCACAGGAGGGGCAGCGTGCTGCATGAGAAAGGGTGGAGAGGAGGCAATGTTGATGGCAAGTAGGCCAGGGCAGAAGGCCTGGAAAAGGTGCTGGTTTTGGGAGGGTGGTCGGGGGAAGGGCACCCTGGCGTTCATGTCAAGGGGGCCGGGGCTTGGAGGTCGTCACGAACAGAATCACACTCATGCCTCACTTGCGGGGATCCTTCTCCCATGATCGGACCGCCGGCGATTTCAGGAACCGGGCCTCGATGCGATGCCTCTTTATGGCGATGTCGAAGATGAGGGAGAGGGCAGGCAGCGGGAGCTCCAGCAGTTTCGGAGTCCGCCGGGCGGCCTCGCCATACCAGGTCCCCTGATCATCCCGGTTCCCATGCCCAGCGTCAGCGTCGGGGTCCTGCACGCCCATCAAATCATGGGGTCATAGGAGGAGGGGTAAGGAGCATGATTTGAGTAACCCTCCATCTGTGCATGCGGTGGCATGCCATGTGCCTGGTTAGGGCATGTGTCCCATGGGAGCCGCTCGGAAGTCTATATGGACAGGGAAGTTCTCAGATCTTCCTGCTGGCTGATTGGGATGCAAGGACGCACATAACCCCTGAATCATTTCCATTTCAAGTTCTTATGGTGAGGAGCACTGTTTGTGTCTCAGGGCCCTCACACCAAGAGTTGGAAATTTGTACTTCTTTGCGTCATTTACCAAAAGTGCTCACAACATCATCGCATGGACTGGGACTGGGATAGACCCTGCGAGGCACCCCCTGCATCCAGCCCCGCCTCGTCCATCTGTGTCATGGGGGGTGGGAGCGGGAAGTCTGGCCTTCGCTGAGCCTGAGTGCATTTTTCCGCCCAGATGCAAGCATGAGTGCAGGCAGGCTCACTCCACCATGATCACCCCCGACTCAAAGAGCACACCTTTTGGTACTCATGGAACATGTCGAGTGCTCCCAAGAAGAAAGGGCGCACTGCGTTGATCTCCATGGCAGCCAGGTTGTTCAGCTTCACCGTCATGGCTCCCTGGAGGGTGGACAGGCCGGCCAGCACCTTGGCCATTCTCGCCTTCTGTACCAACTCCACGAGGTCCTTGATCTGAAGGGGAGAGGAGACATTGGTGGGGGGGGGACACAGTAGACAGAATTTGATGCTCTTTGGCATCGGTTTGCTATGATCTCAGCAACCCACAGATACGTGAGACCAAGCACCAAGGCATCCGTGGCTGCTGAAGCTCCATAACCAGCGTGATCCTTGCAACCCTGCAAGCCAAGACTCACTCGCGTCAGATTGTCCCCAAAGATCCCAGAGGCCAGCGCCTCGTCGGTGCCGGCAGTGAACAGAAAGTGTGCGATCTCAATGTAGTGGAAGGGCAGGGGCTGGAAAGCCGTGGCATCTCTTCGATCCAGATTGAGGACAGCTGGGAGAATTTGTGGGGAGGGGGAGGTGATAGAGTCGGGCACTGCTTCTGATACTTGGGTTAGAGGCAAGCAGCTCTGTTGCATGCCCATTCTAAGCCCCCCAACCTGTGGGCGAGAGAAATGGAACGCATGCACTTGAACCTCCCAGCAACCTCACAAGCACCAGGTCCACACCTTCCAAGTGGTCCACATTCATCCAGGGAAGTGGTTTCATTGTGCACCGTTTCCTCTTCCACAGAGTGAGGGCCAGCCAGAGGGGCACCTTGCACTCTCTGTTTGGTAGGAATGGTCCGAACTCGCCCTACACAGGGGTATGGCATACAGATTAACTTTTAAAAGGGGCCGCTGGAGAGGGTCACTGCGTCGTTCACCATGTAGGCGTTCTTCAACCCTCCAATGCACATCCACATCGCACCCCAATGCATTGTGCAGTGCCATTCTCCGTTAGCAGAGAGAAGTTTGGGACGATGGTGATGAGCTCATCCTTGGCCAGGAAATACATCTGTGGGTTGTGCAGTATGATTGTGATAGCTGCTTGGCGCAAGCTTGCCTGTATCGCTGACCCCTTCTCCTAGGGCCATAGCAATGCTGCGTACCTCCTCAGGCGTCCATTCCGCAGCAGCGCTCCGAGACGCCATGCCAATATGCGGGCACTCTCCCTTATCAAACAGGCGCAGGCGATGAGCTGGAGCACTGAATCTATTCGCGATCGCCTGGTCCTTCGTCGATCAGCACGACTTGCTGAGCTATTCGAAATCGAAAACCCGCATGCATCCGTCGTGCTGCGCATGGCTTGGGAGTTTGGGGCGCACGATCTCCAGAGCATTGAATCTTCATGCGGCATACAGAGCGTCGCGAGTAACCACGACGTACCGGCATGAATTTCGGTTAATAAGAACGTCCTGCAAATCGACCAAGTGGGTCTCTGCTTGTCATGCGGCTGCTCTCCAGTACTGGCGCGAACCTGTCTCTGACAGTGTGTTTGGAGGGGAGATGAGACCCTGGCTCTCTTTCATGCATGCGGTGAAGACCCAAGACGGCTGGCATGGATCCTGGGGCCTCGGCAGGCCCTCCCTGTGCCTGGGAAGCCCGTCCTTGTGGACCTCCGGGCGAGCGAGGGCACACGGCACCGAACCGGCTCCATGGCTGAAGTTCGACAGGACGCGGCATGACGCACCCCGGCATGCATCAGCAGGAGCTCGATGCTTTCGAAATCACAGCGCCTGGTCGCCGGCATCGACGTCGCACGCTGCCAGCCCCTGGCTCGCACGGGCACCACCAAGCACCTCCCCCGGAACCAAGCCCCATGCCCGGGCCGCCTCCGCCCTGGCCGCCGCCAGCACGGAGGGGGAGGTGGTGGAGGTTGGGGGCGTGGTCCAGAAGGTGTGGTTCAAGTCCACGGAGACGGGGTATGCCGTGCTGCGGCTGCGGGCCGACAGCCCTCGCGGCGCGGAGGCCATCACCGTGGTGGGCACGCTGGCCCACGTGGCCGAGGGCCAGGCCCTGCAGCTGCAGGGAAGCTGGAAGCGGCACCCGCAGTATGGGCGCCAGCTGGCGGTGAGCGAGGCGGTGCAGGTCGCGCCGCGGTCCGACGCCGAGCTCGCGCTCTACCTCGCCAGCGGGGTGCTCCCGGGTGTGGGGCAGGTCACCGCCAAGGTGTGCGGGGTTGTGTATTCCTATCGGCTTTTTGGGGGGGAGGCACTGGTTTGGCAGAGTTGGTTGGTGATGGTGCTACAGTCCCTTTCCTTTGGAAAACTGCGGGAACCAGAGGAGGTTGCTGCCTTGGTGCTCGAGCCTGGGCTCGCCCATGCATGACTCCCTGGATGGGATGGACTGCATGAATAGCACCACAAGCCTTGTCTTTCCATGTCCATCTCGCTCCTCAGTGACAACCCTTCCCTCATTGAGTTGTCCTGAACTGCCCCCCATTCCACCAAACCAACCAACCCCTCCCCCCCACTATCACAAGGCCCTGGTCGAAACCTTTGGCGTGGAGATCGAGTCAGTGCTGTCGGCGCCTGACGCAGTGGCGCGCCTGCGCCGCTGCCCCGGCGTCGGCGCGGCCAAGGCCGCGCGCATCAAGGCCGCATGGGACGCGCTGGGAGGCAGCCGCGCGGGGTTCCTCTTCGCCAAGGGCGCGGGCGTGCCGGCGCTGGTCGCGCAGGCCCTGGCCGAGGAGCTAGGCTCCGGGGTCGAGGCCGCGCTGCGTTGCGATCCCTACGCCGCGCTTTCCGGCCGCGGCCTGGGCCTGGCGCGGCTGGACGCCGTGGCCGCGCGCCTCGCCTGCCGGAGGGACCTGGCTAGCCGGGCCGGGGCGGGCACGCTGGAGTGCCTGGGAGCGGCCGCCAACGCCGAGGGCCATTCGTATCTGCCGTGGCGCGACCTGCAGGCGGCCACGCTGCGCACGCTGGGAGGCAGCGGCGGCGAACCCTGCGCCTCCGGCGCCCTGGCCGCGGTGGTGGCCGACCTGGCAGCCGTCGGAGAGCTGGCGCTACGTCGCGCCGACGGCGCGGAGGCGCCTGAGTTTGATATTGGCGCGGGGGCTCGCCGCCGTCGCGGCCTCGCCCCCGGCGACACGTTGCGCGACGCCATTGCGATGTACCCGTTGGCCTCCCTCCCCCTAGACGCACGCTGCT